GGAAATCATGGCAAAGTGTATGCTGAGCAAGTGTCTGCAGGGAGGCCATCCCCTCTTACTCAAGATTTCGGTATGTGTCCCACAGAAAGGCAAACAAAATAAAGAGCATTGCTTCAGTTTTACACCATGTTGACATAAATCTTCTCTCCATGTGAATTACGGTGAAACTGTGCACAGCTACTGAGCTGCTGCACTTAGGCTGCAGATGGGCTTTGTCTGTGCGTGCTTTGGCAGACAAACCTGTTGCTCATTTGGATTTCATATAGGAGAAAAGTGAGTTGGCTGGCTGGTTTTCTTAGGCTTGTTTTGTAGTGTACCTTGCTGGCTTTCATTTATAGATGTAGATAATTATTTTTTGTACATTCACTTCTGTATTTTATATTTGCATTTTTGCTACACCATGTATTTCTCAAAGCCAGGGTGATCAAAACAGAAACACCGGGCAGGAACAGTAAGGAGAAGGATCTAACCATGACACTTTGGGCAATTAGAAACACTGTGCCATGTGCTTTGCTAACTCAGGTCTCCAGAAGACAGCACAAGTTCTTCTGAGTTCAAGTTATGATTTAGGCTAAAGAAGTCTGGTATTAAAAAGAACTTCTCTCTTTTCCCAATAGGAAATTGGTTTTTTATTAAAGACATTTCTTGAGTGTTTTATCGTTGCTTTCTACCAGCACCAACTTGAAAGAACTGTGCTGATCTATTTAAATCAGTATAAAATCTTAATCTCTTTTACCCCCTAAATTGCAGTTCATCTGACATTCATAGGTCAGAAAGAGTGTTTTGGAGATGAGGGATTTGACCTGCCTGACCACCTATGGAGTTGCTGCATCTTCCAGTGGCACGACCTCAGGCCTCTCCTGAGCTCTAGAAACTGTCCATGTGTGCTCTCCTAGCCCCAGTGAATGGGAGGTAAAGTTTCTCTTCTTGAACTACCTCTGTCTGGGAGGAGTCAGCCTGGAGACTGATTGCCTGTCAGCATTTTAGGGATAAATAAGGGCAATATTTTATCCTAAGAACTCACTTTCAGGCTCAACATAGAGATTTCTCTGTCTGCTTTGCTCCTAGGAGGCAAATATTTCTTAGAGTAGACTCTTCTCTTTCTACTTTTGACATCTTTAGCAAGAGCTTCCTTAACATATTATGTTCAGTCTGAAACCAGTATAAAACTTGTATTTTTCTTCTTCCCTTTGTATTTCCCCTTTGCATTCCCTTTTTCCATCATGTATCATTTGTATCTTTTTCATCATGATTCAGGGCAGAGTTTTAGAGCTGCCTCTCCAAAACCTCAATAAATGCACCGAGCAGCTGCTGCTATAACCCAGCTTGCTGCCATGTTACTGCAGACAGATGCAGGTTAATTATAACTTTAAATGTTTATCCTGTTATTGTTTGCATTTCTGAAGATTTTCAGCAGCTGTAGGACCCTGAGTGACTCCCTCCCCTCTCACGCAGTGTATTTATTTTCTGGGTTCAGCATGCCCTGGTCGGTGTCTCTGGCGTCGCTGCGGTGTCCCGTGCAGAGCGGGAGGTGGGCTGGGGTGACTGCAGCTCTGCGCCAGGTGGAAGCAATTATGGGGAAAAAAAAACATGGTTCTTGCTGGATGAGTTACTGCTGATAGCTGCCAGATAAGCTAACTTAATAAAGCAGTGCCTTAATTAAGCCACATTCCTCTCATCTTGCCTCTTGTCCAGCCTGTCTGAGGCGATGCTATCAAGCAGCTACTGCTTTGCAGGATGGGGCAGGGGTGCTGTGCTGATGCACCCCTGTGTGTTGGGCACTCTGGGGGTTCTACAGATGATGGGGAGCAGGGAAGTTCCTGGAAAGCTCAGATCCTCTCTCAGTTTGCAAGCTAATGGGCCACAAATCCTGAAAAAAAAGATGGATATGCCACTTGCCTAGTCATGGATATATTTATTGGTATCAGAAGTTTGACCCCTAAACCCATCTTCCAGCATTTAGTGATCCAGAAGCATCTCTACCTCCAGAGCAGTGGGGAGGAGCAGAATATCTCCCTGCTTCTCCAGCAGGAAAAAAAGGGGGTTGACTTGGTTTTGGGGGTGTCCCTATCACTACAGATTTTCTTACAACCACAAAAGCTGGATGTTGCATTAATCAAAATCATCGTGCACCAAACTCTCTGCCAGTTTGGGCTTGTTTCTATTCCTGAGTAAAGATTGCATGAGAATCAAAAGTTACTGTGCTTTTAATTGCTGAAGTACCCCATTAAAAGCTGTAACAGATAAAAGTCTGCCAGAAGCTTCATCCTTCATAAACCAGACGTCGGGTTAACAAATCAACCTAATTTCCCCAGAGATCCAGGAACTCCTTACACAGCCATGTATTTGTATTTCATGCATGGCCACATGTACAGCTGCATAGCAACCACCTTGCTGAAAGTTATCCAGTAGCTAAAATTATCAGTAGGAACTCCTTCTTACCTCTCATTATGTACAACGAGATTGCTGCTGTGCAATGTTGATTAGATATGTCAGCCTGGACCTCTACGTCTGAAAATGAGTGTTGCTATTAAAATGCCTTTGCTAATGCTCATATGTCCATCATTTTGACAGATTTCACTTTAAGAATGTAGAAAGCTAAAGCATGCAGGAATCCCAGGGTTGCAATGTAGTGTTCAGAGAAACACGTATTGTATTTCCTTTGCATTAACCCTAAAGTAGCAGTTTCCCTGCCAAAATCATGCTGATAAGAGTGCTGTGGAGTAGAGGCTGCACTAATGCAGAGATCTGTAAGTTTCAACTAGGAAGAGATTATCATGGGGAATTGGTTTTTGGAATGTGGTCTGAAGGAAGGGTATCCCTCTTCGAAACACTTCTTCAAGTATGATTTAAAACTTTCCCAATGCAGAAAAATTTTCACGTACTTAGAGAAAATATTTCAAAATCTCCTTACCAGTAAGGCTTGGGAAAATTCAAACAAAAAATTTGAGGGACACTGAAAACAAGGAAAGCATTTCTCAAAACCATCACATCCCACTGTGGAGCCCATTGCTGCAAGAAGTCAGTGAAGAGAGGGATTTCAGCAAACACTTGGATATCAGCCAGGGGGACATGATTCTCTGGTTATTTTAAGTGAAAGCTAAAGCACAAGGCTGTGGTTGCTTTGGGGCAATATCAGGGTGCCAGGGCAGCGTTTAATGGCTGTAACTTGGCATAGGTTAGGGTCTCAATGTATGGCTGTGGGAGAAGGGTTTGATCAGGGCAAGTGGTCTGTCTTTCAAGAGAGAGGCAGCTCCTGCAAGGTTCCCAGCAGGTGACCTTTACTCAGGTTATCACATCATCTGCTGACACAGGTCGTATTGGTCCTAACCATGAAAATAAGGTGGGAATTCCACGGAGAAGGGTAAAAATTATGGAAGCTCCTGCTCCCTATGGCTGGTTAGCTCTGACTGGCACAACCCCACAGGTCAGCATCTCATGGCAGGGATGTCCTCCTCTCCTTGCTCATCTCTCAGCCTTCTCAAGCTGGGCTGTATCTCCCTCTGAAGAGCAGCTACAAGCAAGCCTCTCTTCTGCAGACAGGAGGAGATCAATGTGCACTTGGAAAGCCATCAGCCGGGCTTGCAGCATATGAACAGCCTCCCCAATGCACCTTTGAACTCATTCCTCCTGCATTTGTTTGTCTTGCAGATAAAACTTCACAGCAGTGTTTGGAGAGAGGTCTAATGAGGCACCACTGTTTGCATAACAAAGCAAGGCTTCCTCTTCAGATGTTCAACACTCATTAAGCATAATTTATATTCCAGCTAATCTTTGGAAGAGGGTAAAATATGGAGCCAAAGTTTGTTTATACATTGTTTGGAGAAATGCATTGTTTGTTTTAAGCCGTCAGTTGCAACTGATAGTTGATTTAAATTCAACATAATGATGATTTGTGATGGCTACATGTTGTCCAGGAGAATGTCGTGTCATTGACTGACGTGGCTTTAGCACTCTTCTACATTAGCTATTGAATCAAAGGAAAAGACAGAATGGATGGTTTCCCAGTTTGGGAGATATTTCAGGATGTCTCCACAAAGCATGAAAAGACTGTGAATTTGTAAAATACTGAGGGTTTTTTTTCCCTGCTCAGATTCGTGTATACTTGATGCAATAATGCACTGAACAGCACTTTTTTCTTTTTCAGCAGTCCTAGTAGTGACCAATATGGGACCCTTTGAAAGTCACCAGGTCCCTGTAGTGAGACTCTCTGGGTGATAAGGGACACAGCCGTTTGTAAAGGCTCCTGAGTGCTGCTGGGACTTAATGTGCTTTGCTGCCTAAAGAGAAAACCAGCAGGTTTAGCTGGATGCCTAAATGTCATTACAGGCCAGTGTGTCAGAAACAGTAATTTCTCAGCATTCAGACTTTGTTCATATCATAAGTGCATAAGAAATGGCTGAACCTATTGACACTACACTGCAGTTTGGTATAAAATACTCTACAAGATTATCTCAGACTATATAAGATACTCTCCCTTTCTCCAGCTGAAATATCTGATATATTTAATTTATCTCCTCCAGGTTTATTAGAAGTTGAGAAATGACTGATAGCATTTATCCTCTGTGTTCTCCTCACTGAGACTTACCCCTTTCAGCAGGTTTACATTGCAATGACAGATATTTGAAAACACCCTTCACTGTACCATGAAAATTATGACCTGAGTTGTGTATTTAAACAGCACTAAGCTGTCCAGACAACATCCAGACAACACAAGAGAGCAGGATTTTTGGAAGTTACTTGGGATGTTGGTTGGGTCAGTGTTGAGGTACTCTGCCCTAGGCTCCTGAGGTGGCTGGACATGCTGCCATGTGAAATCCCTCCTGGGCCAGGTGGTGCATTTCCCTGTTGTGTTCTGTAATGCTGAACTCCAGCTGGTCAGGATCCTTGTCTTGTTTGGTTCATCACATCCCCACTCCACTTACGGCTGTTTTTAAAGGCAGCACCAATCTACAGAGAATATATTTATTTATTCATTTATTTATTTTATTGTTTTTCAGGAAAAAATGCTGTAAGGGTTATAAGTTTGTTCTTGGACAGTGCATCCCTGAAGGTATGTGATTTCACTGTTCTTACACATCATGTCCCCATGCATTTGTCTTTCTCCATCTGCCCTCTTCTCCACATTATCTGTTTGGAAGAGCAACCTGATGTAAGCACAGGCTTGGCCATATCTCATGTATCAGTGTGGGGAGGAACTGTTTCCCAGAAATTGTTGGGAAAATAAAAAGATTAACAACTTCCAAAAGTTCTGCTTAACATGCCAAGCCTTGAATCCTCCCCTAAGTACTCGTGGCTGCACAGACCTTGTGCCATGACCTGCTGCACTGCAGACAGAGGAGCGTGTTCTGCCCTCGACCGGGTAGTTGGGAGCACTCTATGCACCCAGAAGAACACTTTTCATGGATGATGGCTTTCCCCTTTTATCCCTCAGATCTGGTACAGCTTGACTTGTCAGGGCTCAGGGAGATGGTGAGTAGGTGAGTAAGACCTGCCTTTCATTTCCCATGGGCGTGGCTTCCTTGTCACCAGGGGCCAAGAAAGATTTAATCAGGATAGTTCATGCAGCAGTAAAAAAAGGATCTTATTTGGATAAAACTGGCTCTGAAGTTGTTGGACCACACGAACTGCCAGGCAGGAGCAAATGTTCAGAGACGACGTGCCAATAAACTTTTTTTTTACAAAAAGTAATTTTAAAAGTTGATCTATGGTAACTCATTATTCTATTTGATGATGTATGGAAAGCTTTGATTTGGTCTGAGAATTTTCCTAGTTTACGACTGATATTTCAGAAAAAAAGTGACAAATTAACATACTGGAGAATCTGCTGTTTTTGCGTTACAGTGTCCAGCCAAAAGGGATTATAATCCGAACTCTAATTCTGGTTGGGTTTGTTGTGGGTTTGTTGCTGTTGTTGTTTTTAATTTGTGTCTTCTTTGCTGCTGGCTAGAAACACTAAAACAGTTGGTGGATTGGTGGGGGTGGGGACAGGGAGAAAAAAAAGAGGCAAACAGCTCGTGATGACTCTGTGCCTGGAGGAGCTGGGTAGGATTTGGGTGAAATTGGTGCTCACACATAGTTCCTCATCCCATGGTTTTGCTGTGAGTTTTGTCTCAGCATGTGTGATACAGGTGACAGCTCCAGTGTGAGACAGACACTTGGAGGAGGCAGTTGTGTGTATTGGAGGCAGAAGTCCTGAACCCTTTCAGGGTGGAAAGAAGCCAAGACTCTAGAGTCTGGCCTCCAGCTTTCCTATGAATTTAATAATTTTATGTACTTGCTATTCACTGAATATAAGGAGGCAGCAGGAGAATTAATAGGAGCAAAAATAAAATGAGAGCCATGGCGATTTATTACTTTAACTTCTAATTTTCATCTCTTGAGATGTTAGGTGATTATGAAAGCAGCTCTTTTTTTGTGCCCATTGACTTTGTCTAATCCTGTCTTTTAACTGCATTTGAGTAAACTGGGAGTTTCTGCCCCTAATTCAATTCTCTGCTGGCTACAGCCTCTCTCCCTTTGTTTCTCCATTCCTTTTTCAGCTTTATCTGTATTTTGCCTAGAACTTCAGAGGCCACAGCAGTTACTATAACATCTGAGATAGTCTCAGGCCTTAGTAAAGGGACGAGAAACATGATTCACTGAAGTATTCATTTTCCTTACTCTGTTACAAGACATCACTTGGCTCTTCGCACATTGTTTTGGCATAATCTTGACAGAGTAGCTGCATGAAATCCATATCTCAAACCAGCCACATAAATGCATTACAGATGTGAGTTCATTAGAGCACATCTGCACCTTTTAATCCAGTACTGGCACATTGAATCTGTGAGAAGTAGTTCCAGCCCTGTCTTCTCTATGATTTAGCAATGGCAGCAGGGAGGAGGGTTGACAGAGGTATAGATCCTCCCTTTTCCACCCTTTTATAGCAGCCTGAGGAACACACCAATCTCCTTCTGGGACAGCTGTTTTTTAAACAGACTCTTTCCCAAAGGCTTGTGGCTTAGTCTGTGTCACTTATTGGTTTTCATCCTGTTATTTTTCATCTGCCTTTGAAAAGGAACAGAAATCAGTGTAGTACAGTATGAGCCCATGCCTCCAGTTTCTGCATTCATTTGTTTTTACTAACCTCACTGTGGTTTTCAGCTGCAGGCCCACGGAGCAATGGTCCTCAGGAAACATTGAGTGGAGTTACTTCTCTGTGTCTGGTTCTCTCCATAGCATCTCTTCCTGTTCCACCTACTCAGCAAAGTGGATAAAAAAACCAACTCCTCACCTTTTTCTCTTGTGTGACCTCCTTTTTCTTTGCTTTGGAGACTCACAGCTCCAGCCAAGTCCAGTCTTGGATCCTGTCTCCTGGCATCATAGAGTGAAGAAGGGACAGATGCAGTATGGAGCAGTTTATTTTGGAGACCACCCTTCCTACTGCTGGTTTGTTTCCTGAGTTGGCTGTGGAAGAATTCAGAGTAAAACATTACAGACGAACTATAGTCAGATCTACTCTTTCCTTATTAATATTGTTTCCAAAATTTCCTTGGTACAACTTTCCATGTTATATTGTCATTTCTGAGCTTATTGAAACTTATATAGAGACATCTGTTGCTCTGTTTTGGCTTTAGCATTTTCCTAAGGTCTGAAACAGCCTGATCCTCATTGTATGGTTTTGATTCCTCCTCAAACCATATTTCTTAGGCTGAGCTGGCAAACAAGGGGTTTGAACACAGGAGGGAATGTTCATCTCCAGTTTTGCAGAGCACACACACGTGGTGCAGCAGCTTTTGCCTAATTTAAATCTCAGTTCTGAGAACTGTGTCTAGGGGAGTAATGTAACCTGGGACAAAGCCCTGGGGATACAGCTCTGGGACCTGCCTACGACCATTGTCTGATCTGGGTTGACTGTGTGGGACCATCAGCAGGGATATTCGTACATCTGGACCCTTCCCCAGCTTTGTGAGAAAGTAAATAAGGCAATGGACATGATGGAGCTGTGCTGAGGTGCACATGAGCACCATGTTCAAAGACTGGTTACATTAAATATGGAGACAGATGGGTGAACAGAACTGGCATTGTTTAGTCTAGAAAAAAAGGAGGCTGAGGGGAGACATGATAAGAGGACTTAGGTATGTGAAAACTTGCTGCAAGGAAGAAGGTAAACTATTCTTTATGGCCGAGGAAAAGAGGACAAAAATAATGGGCCTAAGTGGCTATAAGAGGAGTTTGGATTAGATATGAGTAAAAAGCTTTCTGTCTGCAAGGATATTTCATCTTGGGACTAGACTACAAGGAGGGTCATATCCATCCCTTAGGGAAAAGTAGGAAAGGTTTATGCATAGTTACTCCGGCTTGTAATGGGAGATGGCCCCTACCAGCACTGTTTTTTCTGATTTTGTTAGGGCACATCTATTCATGGAGGCACAGGGAGGATAGAGCTTGTTTATTCAGCTCTGAATAGCTGAACATGGCACAGGCCAAGTCTCCTACCTGGGTGGGTACACTGGGTAAGGAGCAGCACGTTCACCTCCATGTTGGACATACCATGCTGTTCACACTCTGATTTTGTTTCAGTGAAAAACAAAAATTGCAACTATGCCCAGGAAAAACATCAGCAATGCTTTATAGTTGAGACTATTCAGTAGTGCCAAATGTAACAGGAGTTTATAGCCCAGCATCACCTAAAGAGTCCAAACTACCCCCAGACTGAACAGTTTGAAGGCAAGAGTTATGTTTCCATTTCATTGCTCTGCACTGTTGGATCCTGGTTACTGCAGGGGGTCCTAGCATTGCCATTCAGCACCACAGCACTGTGGGCAAACTTCAAGTTGTGAAGCAAGAAGGAAAGAAAGGATGCCCATTATTTAGGAGGTGACAAGCAGAATGTTTGGCATTATTACAGTAGTATATCTATTACAATAGTGCATTTTTTCCTAAGGGGTTCTGGTGTGACATACAGCATCTTGTTAAGTGTCATTTACTGCTTTTCTGTATTTTGGCATGCTGTCACTTTTAACCCTAGTGCTGCGCATGTGCTTTATATAGTTCACACAGAAAATGTGTTTTCATTTGCTTTACCATCTCTTGGCTCATTTTAATTGTTTGGAACAATCATTGTACACAGAACTATCTGCTAGTCATTAGGACGAGTCAATAATGAGTTTTAATTACATATATGGAAACACAGTGCTTTGCTGCGAACTTGCTTGAACCACTTAGATTTTTTTTGGACATGTTTTGTCTGGAGCATGGATGAGATATTTCTGCTGTGGCCCTCAGTGCCCACTCACTGGATTGTCACAGCCACCTGGATGCGCTCTGCAGGTTGATGTTCTCTGAAATGGTCACAGAAACTGCCACTTGCTTTGGTGTAAAACCTGACCTTGGGCAGGCTGTGCCCGAGCTGGGTTTGAGTCCAAATGCCACTTCACTCCCAGTGTCTCCTGGCATGGTGCTGCAAAACCCTAACACCCACAGCTGGGAGTTATCCTTCTCCTCCAGCACCATGCCAGGGGCCTCCAGCCCCTGACAGGACAGGGATGTGGGTCAAACCTCACTGTGCTCTGGCATCCATGCCTGAGGCTTCAGTTCTGCTGCTACACAGCAGTGAAATTAGAAACAGATTTTCCCTCCTTTGGGTTTCAAGCAGGGACTTCAGTCTTTTGGGATTTCACTGACACACCCTGATGTGCACATTGCAGCTATTAAGAGAGATGATGGGTTTGTAACAATGCACTCTTTGCTAGAAGGGTTATATCTGGCTTTGAACAATTAACGTATGATGTAATTAACTTTTCCTTGTGATATCCTTTCTGCCTGGCTTTGACAGTTAACCTCACAGTTTTTCACAATATTCTGCATAGGAAATGTTGCTATCAGACTTAAAAATCTGTCAAAGAAAGCTAAAAGAGAGTTTAAGGTAATTTAATATTTCTGTGAAAAGAATTCTTAAAATCTGCCAACAGCAAAAGTGACCCTTGCTTAAAATACGGCTTTAAGAAATAGTCTTACAGCTGTAAAGCTGAGAATAGCAATTACAATTTTAATGTATTCCTTTGCTTATGTCTCATGAATGTTTTATATCTAAGTTCCTTCAGTCCTCAAGAATAATGTAACTCAACTTCATATTAATTTTCAGAGAGGTGAAATGTTTACAGTCTCATCCCTCTGCTGACTTTGGTATTTTTCCTAACCATGTTTTTCTCTCCCTTAGACTACGATGTCTGTGCCGAAGCTCCCTGTGAACAGCAGTGCACAGATAACTTTGGGCGAGTCTTGTGCACTTGCTATCCCGGATACCGCTACGATCGGGAGAGGCACAGGAACAGAGAGAAGCCTTATTGCCTGGGTGGGTAGATGAGCATGTTGAGCTCCCCCTGGTTAATTATTTACCCTGCTCCCTTGGGTCTTTTAGGAGTCAGTTTGGATCTGAAACCTTTCTTATTCTCAATATTATTACAGAAGAAATATGGAGGTTAACTATGCTAAGAATTGAGAGATCCCTTGAAATTATTAGGAGGTATTACCTACAAGACTATATACCCAAACACTTTGAAGTGTTGGGCTGATGTAATTTTTCCTTTAATTCCTCCTGCAGGCTGCGAGCCATATTTGCTGAATATTGAAGCATTATCACCAGTCCTAATTATTAAAACTAGTCCTTGGTGTTTGATTCAGATGGCCAATATTTCATTCAGGACTGATCATTTACCTGTGGTCCTCCTGTGGCTAGTTCTGCCCTGTCCTACATGCCAGGAAGCCAAGGCTTACAGGATTGAGCTTTGCTTGTGAGCTTTTCAATGCAAGGAGACGGTCAAGCAATGTTCACTGATAAAATGCAAAGTGTGTTAATAACAATAATAATAATAATAAATAATAATGATAATAATAATAATAATAATAATAATAATAATAATAATAATAATAATAGTGCAGCTTGCCCAGAGCTCCAGACCAAAGGCTTCAGCTGCATTTGCAATTGCAGTGCTGCAATTAATTGTTTGTTTATCCACAAAATCTCTTTTCACCTCTAAAGGAAGTCTTTTATTGTGTTGGAGGTCTGAAGCCTCCAGCTACGGGACATTTTTAATTTCTGCTTCTCTCCAGATATCGATGAGTGTGCCACGAGCAACGGGACTCTGTGCTCTCAGATCTGTGTCAACACTGTGGGCAGCTACAGGTGCGAGTGTCATGAAGGCTATGTCCGGGAAGAGGATGGCAGGACATGCACCAAAGGAGATAAAGGCAGGTGCTAGTTCAGATTAAATGTCCTGGGCATGTCATGAAGAGGAACTGCTCCCAACACTACACTTGCAGCTGGGAGTCTGAAGCTGGGATATAGATGATGCTCCTGGGGCAGCCAGGCTGTTCGCTGGACGCCTAAACAACTGTGGAGCAGCCTGGCCAAACCTCTCCTCCAATGCATAAATACAATGGAGGATGTGGAATGCATCTTCTCCTAGGGAGGCAGGATGGCTGAACAATGAAATTTACCATGATAGCTTCAGTTAGATCATTCCTGCTGGATCCAGTTGCTGAAAACTGTACTTTGCTCCAATACCAGCCTGGATTACAACTGTTTTGTGGTCCAGAGCTAAGGAGACATAGGGAAAAGTCTTACCAGATGATGAGCCTTAAAAAATTTCACTGATTTCACCAGGTAATTAAATAATTTCAATAACTTTAATTTGTATTTACACACTTACATTTGAGATTAGCAAATGGCCTTGGGTTGGATGGCTCATGCCCCTTGGGCCTTAGAGGCTCAGAAAATGGGTGCTTGGGAATTCACATTTTCCAAGCCTTGCTTAAATCAATTTCTAAATTACACTGACTAAGACCAAATGCTGGTGACCTGCAATTAGTTTTCGTGTCCAATGGCTGGGGTCAATTTTTTTTTCTTTTTTCCTTTTATTTCTTTTCTTCGTTTTTTGAAAATGAGATGTTCTTGCATCTCACTGTTGGTTCAAAGTGTATATATGTGCTGTGTACAAATGATTTTAAAGGTTTTGACCTCATCCCAGTTATTAAATTATAGCATTTAAAATGCTACAGAATAAATACTGATATGAAAATTTGAAAAGAAAGGAGGAAGAGAACAGTGCTCTGGAAAAAACTCCAACAACTTTTGATGAATGGCGACTTACCACAGGTTCATCTGTTAATGCCTGAATGTGGTATCACAGGGTGATCCAAATCCCACTGGATGGCCAGAGCAATTTATAATTTTGATTTTCATCTGAAAAATGTGTAACTGGAGCCCTCCATTAACTTTAATTGCTCCTTGTAGTTTTAGAATTTTTTTTCCTTATCAGAGAGTCTGTGTGTGTGTGTGCGTGTGTGTGTGTGAAACGAAAGATATATAACCCAGATAATTCCCTTACAAATAGGGGACATTTTTTAACTTTTCCTCTGGGTAGCTCAAATTTCTTGATACAGTAATGTCCAAAGCATTCAGGATAACCAACCATTCAAAATATTCAAGGTTATAGAAATTATTCTACTGTTTGAAATCCACCATTTCTACACCGAATATACACGGCACATAGAAATGTAAGTTCCGGCAGTTAATCGGGAATGAAATATCCACCACCTCTCCAGATATCTCCCAAATCAGCTGTGCGATGTAAAGAGGGATGCCTTCTGGTCAGTTACGCTGCTGTACTCCACATAAATGTTACGAATTTTCAGACCTGGTGAAAACGAGGAGCCGTGCCCGTAACTCGTTCCGAGGAATAGGAAGGTGTAAGGAACCCGCTGTAGAGACGCTCCACCCCGCGGCCAGCCCCATTCCTGCACCGCATCCCTGCCTAATAAACACATCATCTGCTTTTCATCGTGGCAGGAACACTCACGTTTTATTTTAGAACTTTGTGTGAGAGGCAAAAAGACGCATACCCTTCTCCATCTCTAGGGCGCATGTTTTCCAGGAGATACGGCCGAGTTTTCATTGTTCCATGCCCGAAGGATGCGATTCAGACACTTTTTTGGCTCTCTAAGTGGCTGCAATGTGGTCACTCTTTTTTTGGCTCTGCAAGTGGCTTGACAGAGAGCTTTGGGTTGGTCAGTGGATGCAAGAAGAGGGAGCATTTTTTCATGCATCCACGGTCCCATTTGATGGAAACAGCACAGCTACCCATGCAGAAGCAGGCAGATGAAGCCTTCTCAGCAGGCTGAGCCCAGATAATACAACACAGATGAGCAGCTAAAGAGCCTCCGTGTGAAGACCGCCCACAGCAGAGCTCCCGCAGAGCTCTCCCCTGCCAGCATCTCCTCCTCTTCCAGCATCAGCAAGGCACAGCCTCTGAGCCCATGCACAAAAAAACCACATCACTCCCCTAAGCAGATCTCTTAGCAATAGATGCCACAGGGCTCACCAGTGTCTCACCAAGATTAAAGGACTCTCATCATGCATGAGCATCATCTCTCAGAACATCTTTGTGTTCTGAGAACCTTTATAAAATGGGGATGCTTTAAGCCTTCTTCAAAATAATTTCAGTTTCTTTGTGTAGGTCTGTGCAGTGGGAACAAGTTGTGTAAGTGCCTTGCTCTGTGCTGGCCCAGCTGACCCTGGTGGGTGACCTTGGTTTCTGCACCATGCGTGGGTGGCTCCATCTAATGGCCTTTTGTCTCTGCTGGCCTGTCCTAGGTGACTTCTGGCTTTATCCACACTTTATTCTGGCTTTACTCGTAGTTTGGTCCTGATACAGAGTTGGATGGGGGTAGAGTGAATGTTTGATGGATGACTCCTTTCCTGGGCAAATCATCACCTCTGTCTGGTATGAGTTAGGGGGATTCCACCTCTCTCCTGGGACACAGCTCATGCTTGCTTGTACAATGATCTTGGACTTCTTCCTCCGACAAGTCAATCCAGCCAGCTTTGCAGAAATCTCACTGGTATGACATTTCCCAAACATTAGCTGGTCCCCCCAGCATTCATCTCCATGGATTGTTACAGCCCTGTTTCATCTGTACTTGTCAGCCCCATGTGTCACATCCTTCTGGAAGATAAACTGGGTTGTAGAATGAAACACGAGGCCAAATTCACCGCTTCTTAATCTGCATATAATCCCACAGATTCTGATGGGATTGCATTAGATTTCCAATAGCAGGGGCTCTGGCAGTTTCTCCCCATGACTGTGTGTTGCTTTCAGCAACATTTCTTAACATAATGATAGAACTCATTTGGTGAGATAGCTATTAAAAGAAACTTTTATTGAGACTAGTACAAAATCCAGAGTATATTGGTCTTTGAGAAAGAAAGAAAAAAAGATTGGGTTGTTTTCTGGGTTTTGGGTTTTTTTTCCTAATGGCTCTGTATACATTTGTCTGTAACTCCTATATAGATCTAAAAATGGGCATGTCAAGACACTGGGTTTTTCTAAAAGAAGATGAAAAATTGGAGACGGAGGAAGAAATCTGCAAAACTGACTTGTGTTCAAGAGCAAATTTATTTTACAGAAATGTAAAGTGGTGTCTTCATTACAGCACATCAATTCCCTCTTAAGGAAATAAAGTCCTGCATGGTGCAAATTATTTCATCTACATGAGAAAGGTTTATGAGCAAAGAGGTTTTGGAGGGAATCAAAGGCAAAATGAGTAGCATTAGGAATACAGGAGAAAAGAAGTAAAGCAGAATATGCTGTGTATTCCAGTACCTTCATAAAAATGCTGGAGTTCCTCTGGCAGGTCTTGTGGCTAAATAGTCTTGGATCCAGCATAGCTGAAATTTGGTGAAATTCTATTCTGTGCTGTGTAGAGCCCATTGGAAAACAGCAAGTAGTACCATCTGGACTTAAATCTTTGAGCCATCTGAACACTGCACAGAAAGCTGATCAGGCACCAAACCTGTGCTGGGGAAGAGCTGGGAAGCTCAAACAGCAGTGTGTGCTTCCTGCCACAAAAATGGTAAATAATATGTTGTAATATTGTAAGGCTGTTGGAGTGCAGCCATGGGAACAGGCAGTTCATGACTGGGGAAAAAACCCAAGCATTTGTGTCCCAACTTTCCAGTCAGTTCAGTACTAGTAGCTGTCTTAATGCTCCTGGTTATTCCAGCATTTTGCCTTTACATCTCTCCTAACTGATTAGCAGATAAACGAGATAAAATTTTGTCTTCTTAAATCAAGTATACCTTAAATGCCATTTTAGCCAATGGACTAAACATACTGAAAATCAGCCTTTACTAAATATGTGCATAGGCGGTCCATAGATGACCATCAGATGGTTGCAATCTTCCATACTGGACCCTGCAAGTATTTAAAGTCAAGTAACACATAATATTGTTAGTATTAGAAACTTCAGAGTTCATTTAAAAAGATGCAGATGTTTCAAAATCAATACGCATTTCCTAAAAGATGAAGGGCATTAAAGGGTGTGTCCAAGAGACAATTGTAACACAGTAACTCAGCACGTTGCAGTTGATCCTTTTGGAAGATTTTGAAGATTCCTTGGCTTTAACAGGAACAGAGTTTTTCCATTGTGGGACATGCTCTGAGAGTGCTCAAACGTGCCCAGCAACCCTCCCAGGTAATATCATAAGAGGCTACACATCATATGCAAACCCTCAATAGACTTGATATTTCTCAGCAATGTTGAAGTGAAAAAATCTCACCTAGATTGATCAGTATGTGTCACTCTGTGGTTTGGAAACGAGATTTGTCTTTAAGCAGACATCTGTTACAGCAGTGCTTGTTTGCTTGCAATGCAGAACTGCTTGACTGTGTATGGTACTGGGAAAAGGACAAAAATAACATTTGCAATATCTCTCACAGTTTGAATAATTTAATGGATTCTTGAAAAGATCCTATTCATGCATAATATCAACAGATGTGACCCTTCCTCTTGTGTGGATTTAAATCCCTGTCATTAATCTCAATCCTCATCTCTGCTCAGGCTGATTCCATCACGTGGAGAATAACCCATGATGATAAAGAGGAGTTTGTGCAAAACGAGTGAAATAAGCATATTCTGAGGGATTTTACTGTAATTTATAGCATATGAAAATTTGCCCTTCAGGGAACTGTAAATCAGCTCAGATCTATGGGGTTAGCTTACCCTAAACAAAAAGATAAAAGAAGGGGTGTGAACTTTTCCAGGTATTAAACAAATGAATTCTCTGGGGACTGTTAACTAGAAACAGCTGCTTTAAAAATTTCCTCAGAGCTGTCCCTGCAAAGCTTCTCAGCCTTACATAGAAATTCATAGTCAAAGATTTAATAATGGCAGGAGTCCCTTCTCTTTTCACAGTCTAGGGAAATATAACAACCATCAAGTTGCTTTTGCTATCACTTTATGAATTTCTTTCCTTTGGATCTTTATATTTATAGTGGAAACTGCTTTCTTTTAGCTGGGCTTCCTGAGAAATCTGAAAATGTGGCAAAACCAGGGACATGCTGTGCCTCTTGTAAAGAATTCCATCAAATAAAGCAGACAGTTTTACAGCTGAAGCAAAAGGTATGAACACTGATCACTCATGTCTTTACCAGACTTGCATGTTTTATAACAATTGAGGTTAATTTCTATGTTTAGAGCTGTCATTGACATGTGGTTCTTGTACACACAAAGAGAATGGCAATATATTTTAAAATCATGTAGGAATGGCATCTCTCCCTTATGCTCCTTGTACAACTTGTAAGCAGATTGCTCCCCAAGTTCATGGAGCTGTGTTACCAAGCTCTGTGGTAACAGAATCTGACAAACACCCATCCCAGGCTGAGCCCAGGTTTCTTGGCAATCTGTGCTGGCCCGAGCTTTTCATTCAGTCTGAATGAACAGGATTTTGGACATGATCCACCTTCAGAGTAAGCACGTGCAAGACATTTCTTAGATGCAGGAACATGATTTTTCATTAATAGGGTTCTGGTACAGGATCCTTGCCAAATAGGTGTGGGACTAAACAAAAATATCACTAGCTTTGAATATTACTTTCTCCTTAAAAAAGAAAAACCCTCAATCACAAAACTTTTTTGTTGTTGTTTTCACCTATTCCCTTGCAAGTAGAGAATAATCCATTTAGAAACTTATCCTGGCCTTTAATTGCTCCCATATGTAGCTTCCTTTTGCACCTCAGTAGGATTGAAATAATGCAAAGACATAGCCTCAGATTTGGAGAGCCATATGCAGGGATGCAGGTGTAATGCCTTTTCTGGTGATATCTCCTTTGAACATTGAGGTTCTCTTAAAGTTCTCTGTAGGAATATACTCAGCAATTCATTCTGACAGGCTGTAATTATTTCACCCAGGGTACTCAATTAATTTCTTTCCATTGTGTCAAAACACAATTTGGTGTATTCACTCATTGAATTTGATGTTACTGGTTTAATATTAGGAAGAAAGAAATCTTCTTCATTGAACTGAAATTCACTGAGGTTGGAGATACTCTTTACCTCCAAAATCTCAAAACATCATGTATTTCTTCTGAATCAGTGTGAACACAAACATGTAAGTGACAGAATTTCATGTGTGATGGAAATCCTGTTTTTTAAAAAAAATGGTAGCAGAGAGGTTAAAAAATGACCATGCTTATAAGTTGCTGTTTCTCCAGCTGCTGTCCATGATGCTGAGCAGGCTCACACTGACCTCCAGGGAAGGATCTGGGGGTCACATTGTTGGCCACATTGTTTACTCAAGAATTGATTGATGGAATTAATGGAAGTTTTTTGTCTAACTTCTGCTGTTAGATTCTTGTGTTCAAAACTCATTCCAGGAAAACTTAGACCATTGATACCTGTCATGGTGGGCATTTGTACAGTAGCTGTGGACAAATTAAGCAGCTCACTCTTGCTTCATAGCTAAGTCCAGTCATTGTCTCTAACTTAATTTTTCCCCTGGTATCCCCCTAGTGAGACTTGATCGATTTGGCATCCTCAGAGGGAGCCCACTGGGCTCTGCTCACACAGAAAGAGCTGAAACAGAAGGTTCCCAATACCCTCAGAAACTGTTACCCCACAAAAAGGAGAGGTTTTGTCTATGCTGAATGGAGAGCTGGCCCCATGATGCTTCTCTGCCCAGGGAGACATCAACCCTCATGTTTCACCAGCCACTCCCCATGGCCGAGTTCTCCTGGGGATGACATCTCTCAATAGCTGTGGTTAAAGCTGTTCTGTTTTGCATAGAAAAGTTCATTTCTGTCTGCCAGGGAGATGGTTTATTAAATGAGTCTTCAGTCTTGTGGTTAAAGCTTTCAGATTTTATGAACTTTATTCAAAACTGTGGTTAGCAGAAAAGCTTGTCATCCAATGAGATGCACTGTCCTGATAGACTAGAGGTCTGCGGGCAGTCCTAGGTTGATCTAAGACCTTGATAAAAGGAAAAAGAATGGAAAGCTGAAAAACTAGGGAAAATATATATGGCATACTGACACACAGCCAACAATTAAAAAAAGAAAAAACCAAGTAAGCTTGATCCTATTGCACAGATGTGTTTAAACATCTTAATTAGAAAGCCATGTTTCACATCACTCCTGACAAGCACTGTTCAGTTTCCTAAACCACAGACCTCCTAGAAACTATGCAAAACTCCAAATGCAGCATGCAATACAGCACATAAGCTTCGTTTCTAGAACAGTCTTTCTTTAGAATTTAACCTTGCTAATACTTACTTCCACATGGAGGGAGAAAAATGTTATTTTCCAAGGGCCGTTAAGATTCAGAGCTGTAAATGGAGAAAGCCAAGGTTACCCTGGGCTAGGATCCTGGTTCAGTTAAAAGGTGAAACACAAATTAGGCCAGTGAGTATAGCCAATAGCTAAGAGGATGTGAGTCAACAACAAAAACACATGGTTTGGCCCAGTGCATGTAACAACCATTTTCTTGCCAGAAGATATCAAAGAGCAGTGAGCTAGACCAGAGCCTGGGTATTTTGGCACTCCTAGTGCGCACTTCAAGTCCAGCTGAGTCAGTGGGGAAGCATGCACAGATACTTTCACAGCAGATATGTGATTTCTTTTCTAACTTGCTTGGTGGTTATAACAGCCTCACTGGCAGGAACAAGTAAATTTTTAAACATCAGAAGAGAATACACTTCCAAATCCACTTCACAATGAGTCTTTGCCACTAAATGCACCTTTTTACTCCAGTCTGATCATTTGCAGTATAACCTGAAGAGTACTCATGGCTGGGTCTATGTATTAAGTGGCATCTATTTATCAACTGATATAGCTATAGCTGCCCAGAATGAGATATGTTGAGAAATTTACACACAAGCTAAAAAGACGACTTCAATAATCTGCAACTCAATTGTGATCACCCCTAAGGAGACGCATTCACTGATGACACTGAAAATATTCCCACAAAAACTACTTTAAAAATATCATACTCTCAGCTAGCCACAGGATTTAATTTTCTGACTCTGTTTTAGCATGGCAGCATTGACACTGCAGAGTCCTTGGTTGAGTTCTGTAATGTAGTGGAAGTTTTGAACCTGCTCGTTTCAAGCCTTTCCTTTGTATCCAGCCAGGAACCTGCTCTGGACAGGACACACCTCTAGGAAACCAAACTTTGCTGACCAGAGCCAGGCAGTAGACCTTCCCATGCTGGTCCCCAGCCAGTGAGGCTGTGAGAGCCCCTAACTACTGAATTTTCCTCTTCAGTCCACTTCAGGGGTAGTGTGTTTTGTCCCACTGAGTAGCCCTCCATCTTCAGTAGCTCCACAGTTTGGTCTGTGCTGCATTGGCTGGGAAGCTGTCTGAGAACACTGCAAGGTCACTTGCAAACAAAGCATATATTTTCCTTTGAAAAAGCAGAGATGACAGCTCACGCCAGAGCTGTAGGTGTGCTGAATCTCTATTTTCTGTGTGAAAAGAAAATTCATACGAGTAAGAATATAAGCAACACCCTGTGGGACTTCTGTGAAAATATGACCTCATCCAGCCACTGATTTCTGCAGGGGTGGAGTCAATCCATCAAATTCTTGTTAGACCTACATCATGATTCTTAATTTGCCTATAGGGCAGTCATCTGCTCTTTGGAACTGCAATTCCCTCCAAAACCTAACTCGCAAATGGCTGATAAATCCTTGTGCTCCTGTTATCACATTTTGAGTTCCAGTCTCAAAATCAAACAGGTGTTTCGGAAATGCCAATGGGGAGCTATCTCAGCATTTCCAACGTGGTTTTTTTCCTGACTTTTTTCTGTGCATTCAACCCCAAACTACAAGCAGCACTGGCTGCCTTTAAATTGCAATCCTTAAGCAGTAACTTGTTTGCCAAAGGAAATTTTCCAAGTTCAAGTAGGTACTGCAGGTGCATAACACTGTGTTTTTTCCCTGTGCATTACAAACATTAGGTTTGCAGTCATGGCAGAAGAATGTATGTCAAATAATTACAGAAACAGGTAGGGGTCTTGAGAACAGCCCAAGTGAGAGAATTATGCATAGCTGATGAAAAGCTTTGTCAGATAGCAGGAGTCATCATTTATTTATTCAACGCAGCTCTCACAGGTAAATGTTGCAGAATTCAGCATCAGATTATCCATTGAGCCAAATACATTCAAGAAGCCACAAAACTCATCCAGAGGTAGGTTGGCACTGCTATTGCTGAAATAGTTTTCTAGTTCAATTTGGCAGAGCAAAATCCCTAAGCCTACATGCAGCTACTCACCACTAATAAACTTCTTTCCTCACAGCAGACCAGCCTCCTGGCTTGTCATCTCCCTTCAGCTGCCTCTAAAGAAATTAAACATTTGCAGAATATGTCTAAATATGTTTGATTATTAAATATATTCAACTGGATAGATGAATGTTTCATAGATAATTAAACAGGTAATGGATAATGACACTTTAAACTATAGAGTGCAATTCTCCTTACATTCTCATTTATTTTATCTTCGTGTCTCTGTGTAGGGCAGATCCAGACATCTGATGGGTTAAACAGTGTGGTTACTTTCCAGGGCCAGATTCACAAAGGAATTAGGGTTCTCATTAAAACTATGGAAAGTGAGTGGCTTGTGCAGCAATTTAATATCTGAGCAAATGTTGCCCTGAGAAAGGCAGTAAATGAATAGAGGAAACTTCAAATAAGGAAAAATAACTTTCCTGAGAAGCAGTAATGAAACACTAGTTTTTCTGAATTTGTTGCTGTATCTCTCCTGAATTTCCTTTGTCCTCTGTTGGATTGGCTTGCAGTATTTCCACAGTGACTTGAAAAGCGAACAGACTCACAGAGTAAGAATGTTTTTCTGATTGTATAAATCAAGGATATGAATAAACACTTTATATTTTCCTGAAATATTTAAATAGCTGTTTTTTCACATGAAAACTTAAATAAGAATGTGATTTACCTGGCTCAGCAATGAAGATCTTACATAGATTTTTTTTTTTTTTTGGCAGGTTGCTTTGCTACCAAATAACGCTGCTGATCTTAGCAAGCAAATCACTGGTGAAAAGGTGCTTGCCTCTAATGCATACATCCCTGGCCCCCCAGGCCAGCCTGGCCAACCAGGCCCTCCAGGTAATACCAGAGGGGTGGAAATGTGTAAAAGTGCTAGGACTAGAAAAGTAAACTTCAGTCTTCCGGTGTTATGCAGTTTCATATTTTGATTGATATATTATGTTTGCATTTGTGTGAAATTAAAAAAAAGAAAAGCTTTATGAGTGTTATGGTCAGTCTCTGCCAACTGTCTGACATCATCCATTGTGAATCTATGTTTCTTGGCATGCAAGCTGTGTTTGTCCTGTATGTGTTAAATTTCTCCCCCTCCCTGGGATATATCACCTGCTTCAGTTGTCATTTCCTTGTTGTATTTTAACCCTGTCTTTAAACACTCTCCATTTAATTTCTGGAATATCTACTGCTTTAGCTCACTGTCAGAGAGAAAAAAAACGTGCTTTCAGTTTGTAGGAGTTAGTGCCGATTCTTTTATTTTTCCTTGTCTGATTTGCAAGGGTTCATCTCTTGGTTTTATGTTGTATCCCAGATTGAAAGGAATCTGAAAAGAAAAGTATAATTCCACTCACACCTTCTTTGCTAAAATACAGATTGAAACAATGCAAAAAACAGAGAGATCCTAAAGCCCAAACTTAATCCAGACACCTCGCACATGGTGGCCAGCAACACTCAAAATTTTGGAAATTCTGTTGAATGCAGATCTAATTTTGGGTCAGCAATAAATCTAAACATCATGCTGGATTTCAGAAGGATTCTTACAGAGTACTGGCAAATGTTCCTTATCAGGATTGATTAACTCCCTCCTGAACTGCACTCCACCTTCATCTTTATACTCCCTTTCGCAGTCTCGCTTTGTTTTCTGAGTCTTTACCTCATTTTCCTGGAGGATGAGTATGTTCAGCCTTCAGTTCACCATAAGTGCAAGGACAGCAGGTTTAGAAGTTCTGCAACAGACTTGGAAGGGTAGAGTGGATTGCTTTGCAATCTCTCCAAAAGAGGCCTGAACCCGCCGGTCTCCCACCCACTGGGTTTCCCATCGACTCGGAGCTGTCCGAGGTGCTGTAGAAATCTAAAACCCCCTAAAACCACCCCTGCTCACCTCCTCTGCTGCCCCCCGCCAGGAAGAGCCCCAGGGAGTCATCACTGAGCTTTAGTTCTCTCCTTTTGAAAATCCTAACCATACATATTCAGTCCTGGTGAATGCTTTGTACTCTCTGCATTTTATTCTCTAGTGCCTTTCAGGAGCCCTCAGTATGAAGAGAAGTGTTTCCCCCTCTAATCATGATGAAGAGAAGTGTTTCCCCCTCTAATCATGAAGTGTTTCAGCTAGTGATGTTTTAATGGTCTTTATTGTCTGCAGATGTTGTTTCAGGTGCCTGATTTTCTGGTTTATGTGTCCTACTGTTTCTCTTGAGCTAAACATATGTTTTGTTGCCAGAGTGCTTCCTAAAAAGTAACATTCTCTGTGGAACCAGCAGAAGCTGAAAATTATATAAAGCGAGATGGAAGAACAGAGCTTCTTTTGCCCCTAACATGTTGGCTACTGCACTGGGCAAAAGAGAGGTGCAACTCCCCACTGGAAAGAGCCTGCTTGTATCAGTCATGTAGATGCCCTTGACCCAAAATTCCCGTGGGTTTTTCGAGGCTTTCTTTTTATTAGATGTTCCTCAAATGTGCATTCATGCTTTTCTTTTCATTCCCTACTGTGTCCCTAAGCACCTGGCAGACTCCAATTCTTGTTATACACAAGATTTAATTGTTTGGTGGTCACCTCTTTTAGTTACTGTGACAAAGGTTAATGTTGTCTCAGATGGCTGCTGCTGCAGATAAATTGGTTGTATTCATGTGGATTTGGGTGTGTTAATGTTACCAGCCTGTTGGGTCTTTAAAAAAATGGTGGTTCCCCACCTTGCACTGATGAAGTTTCCTGAAGGCTTTCCCTGGCAGGTAACTTTTGCTTTTGATTTCAGGGGCTCCAGGACCTAAAGGGAGTCAAGGAGCTCCTGGATTACCTGGACCTCCTGGGCAGCCAGGCCCTCGTGGATCAATGGGACCTATGGGCCCATCTCCAGATATATCACACATCAAGCAGGGCAGACGGGGCCCCGTGGTCAGTATCGTTGTCTTCTGCCATGCACTGCACAATTGCCCTTAGCTCCACAACTTCCCACACCCTTGTGAATACTTTCTCTTCTCTTGCAGGGCCCACCTGGAGCCCCAGGGAGAGATGGTAGCAAGGTGAGGAGAGGTACTAATTTCCATAAGATGGGCACATGCACATGTGAAGTGCAGACTTGCTGGAGAGAGTGTACACGCTTGTAGTCACACCCTCTTACCACCTCATTTCCTTTGCTAAGATGAAAGCATCCTGTTGTCATACTCCTTCATGTCATCCTTCTGCTATTTTGTGTTTGCCTTTCCTAAAGTCTTGCAAATAGTCCTGCCAGGCTGTATGTCACACAGCATTGCTATCTTTCTCTGCAGCTCTTTTGGCTTTTCCATGAAGAAATGTTGATGCTTTATCCCTTTTCATTCATTGTGAATTCTTCCTGTTCATTGATTCATTTGTTACTGTCCAGGAGAAATATCAGAAATGCCCCCCTCTGATCCCACTAGAATCAGCAGCAATTTCCTTGTATTCCTACTTCACTTCCTTTTCTTTTTCCAAACAAGCATCAGCTGATGATTCTTGATCTGGGGACAGTTAAGTGAGGCTGCAGAAGCAAACTGTGATTTTTTAATTTCCTTTAGTCACAGCAAACTAACTGAGGTGGTATTGATTACAGGGGGAGCGAGGAGCACCAGGACCAAAGGGGATACCTGTAAGTATTCCACACAGGAGGAATTTCCACAACAGAGTGATGTTGACTACTAACCACAGGTCAGCCAAAAGTTAAAGAAAAAACCTCCTGTGCCAAGATAACAGATTATTTACCTACACAGAAAATGTTGTTGGAAACAAAGTAATTTCTTTTCATCCAAATGTTTTTGCCTACAAACCTCTTCCCTTGCTGGGTGTGCGACTGAGGGCAGCAGGTGCACCTCTGTCTTACAGGGGTGCTGAGATTCCCGTAGAAGGCAGAAACATGCAGGATGCTGTACAGTTCAACCTCTGTTCCCAACGGGAATTTGATCCCTGGAAGCTCTTAAAATCCTGCCCCTCATCTCTCTCGGATTTGGGAAACTATAGGTTTTGAGTTCAGAAGAAGGAATGAGTATTGACAATCTGTTTTCAGATGAATTTGTTTAAAAAAACTCTGGGGTCCCCAGCACAGGAAGGATATGGATCTGTTGGAGCAAGTCCAGAGGAAGCCACCAAGTTGATCAGAAGTCTGGAGCACCTCTCCTATGGGGAAAGGCTGAGAGAGTTGGGATTTTTCAGCCTGGAAAAGAGAAGGCTTCAGGGTGACTTAATAGTGGCCTTTCAGTACCTGAAGGGAATCCACAAGAAAGATGGAGAGGACTATTCACAAGGGCATGTAGTGATAGGACAAAGGAATGGCTTCAAACTGAAAGAAGGCAGGTCTAAATTAGATATTAGATATTTATTAGGATATTAGGATATTAGGATATTAGGATATTAGGATATTCTTTACTGGGAAGGTGGTGAGACACTGGCACAGGTTGCCAAGAGAAGCTGTGGATGCACCATCCCTGCAAGTGCTTAAGGCCAAGCAGTATGGGGCACTGAACAACCTGGTCTAATGAAAAGTGTCCCTGCCCATGGCAGAAGTGCAGGGACTATATGGTCTTTGAGGTCCCTTCCAACTCAAACCACTCTATGATTCTATTAATTTACTTATGGCATTTTCTCATTGGTGGAGTTTATTTTTAAGAGTGTGCTGGCAGGGTGTGCTCAGTATTAAATAATTTCTTTTACCGTGTGAAGTCAGCTGAAGAGAAATAATGATTTTCTAAAGTCGGATATCTCTGCATTGTAATTACTAATATATTTAGTAAGTGATGGACAGCAGTGAAGTTACCATATTGCAAAGACACTTAACAAATAATAGCAGTCTTAAAAGAATTTGTTAATTAATCATTCTAAGAATGTAATTTCTGTCAGTTTAATAACCAAGAAGACAAGAAACCAAGATTAATCTCCTCTATTCCCGTGAGATAGATATTCTTATGAAGCAAAGAAATTGTTAAGTGACAAAACGGCTGAGCATCTTGTAAATGTAGGCTCTGTCTGCAAAAACATTTTATTCTTTTGAAAATTGTTTCCTGATCAAAGCTGGTTAAAAAACAGACCATTAGCTTTTGGCAATTGATACATAGCAGAATTTTACTGAACAACCCCTGCAGGAGTAATTCTATTGGCCAGTTTGAAAACTGTAAGAGCAAGCTGGATTATTATTAATGGCAGTGCCTTGTGACTGCAGGGCCCGCCGGGTTCATTTGATTTCCTATTGCTGATGATGGCAGACATCAGAAACGACATCGCTGAGCTGCAAGAGAGAGTGTTTGGACACAGGACTCATTCATCTACAGAAGAGTTTCCATTACCTCAGGAATTCACAAACTATCATGACACAGTAGATTTTGGATCCGGAGAAGACTACAAACCACGGGCAACATCCAGAAATGCCAGGATACAGAAGGCAGACCATCCTTAGCTATTCCTACTGAAAAACAAAGCCTCTTTAGAATTCTTCAATATAAAAAAATGCACTGACAATTCCCATTTTTCTTTCTGCTTTTCCTGAACCATGCTGCCTGTACTGTAGCTTTCCTGGTTCATGGTAGCCTCCTTGCAAAAATTCCATAATGCCAAGCCTGCACTGTGCATTGTACCTAGACTATCAAAAAAATCTTCTTAGCATATATGATTAAGGCATGCTCTAGCTAATAACACAGACCACAGCATTCCATCTGCCTACCTTGCATTCTATGTCCAAATGACCCAGTACACAAATTTTGCCAGGGAGAGAGGGTTAGCTGAACATCGTCCCTGAATGATGTTTATAATGAACACCTTGGTCCACAGTTACCTTATGAATGCAAATAAATTATACCACTGAACTCAAGTCTCCAGCTACTGTCCCCAAGCTTAGGAGAGTGTGAGAAGTGGATCCCTGTTTGACAGCAGAGGCCATCTGTGAGACTTGTCCTCTACTATGCCTCATCAAGGTAGAAAAAGGCAAAAAAAAAGTACATTGAAGGGTTAAACAAGGGTGCTGCTGCTTGATCGGGAAAGTATTTGGCTTTGTGTTGCTAGAGTATTGTTCTGAGACAGTCAAAAGATGTATGTGTCCCAAACGACTTTAGGACACACACAAACACTACTTTTTCTTTACCATTGTCCCACTGTTCAGTGTGAAGGCCAGTTTGCTTTCTCAACAGATTCATGTTGGACACATTACACAAAGATAAGCAAGATAAAGGGGATGTTTAAAGCAGGAAACCAAATCAAAGTGAATCAAGCAGGCTTATTGCCAAGAGCTAAATATACCCCAGCCTTGCAGAAAGAGTCAAGTTCTGACCTTCTGCAGGTGCATGTCTTCCTTGGTGAAATTCTGAAGTCTGAGTGAAATCAAGACCAGAGAGAGGCCTCATGTTTGCAAAGAGCTTCCACCTGTTTTGTTCCTCTGCTGCATGAGACCAACCTTAATGGCTTTCACCAAACTGGAAGACAGAGGGGCAGCGAGTTTGGCTGGGTGTATGAGAAGTGTGAGTAGGTGCAGGAGTGCACATGATGAAACATTTCAACTGGTACGAGGATGGCTAAGGTGAGGTACTGCACATGGGGTCCTATACTTGTGAATGGGGATAAAAGGGAGTGCCCTTTATTTACACTGGAAAATTGGATGCACAAGTTATACCATACCTCATGGATGATGTATGTTGCCATTTCTTTTGGATCACCACAGCTGCTGAGGACTTTGCCATGCTTAGAATATAAAGGAGTATATTAAGCACAAAATTTCAATGTTGTGTCTGTGTAGCTGCTACTTCTACAGTATGTTTAGTGTTCAGTAGAGTCCATGTCACAAATGCAAAGAAAACGTTGTTACTTTGCTGTGTTTTTCAGGGCTTGCATGTTCCAGTAGAATACATGCAGGTAAAAATATAAGAAGCACCTTTTCAGATAATACGTAAAGTTTTGGATTCCCTTCCATATTCTCTGGGCCAAAAAATAGTTGGTGTAATCCTGACAGCATCAGGATTACATGCTGGTCGTGCTGCATAAACAGCTGGCTGTCTAGACTTTTCCATAACTTCTGTGTATTGTCTTAAGAGGATGTGTTCATTCCTATAGCCATTTCCCAACATCTCACTGCCACTAAGCCACAAGCCAGGGCATTAGCTTTTAAGAACATGAGTGAGTGTTCTGTATTTCTTTTCATGTTATATCTGTATCCATATTTACAAAGCAATGCCTAAGTTGTGGGGATAGCTGAAAAAAATTATATCAATCTAACTCTGTGGCCCTTGGGCTTCTCCTCTTTCTGGGAGAAGCTCTGCCAGCAGCTGCAGATCCAAGTAATCTTGTGAATCATATAATAAGAGAGACTTGAGAAAGGTACCTGTGTCCAGAAGAGGGATGATCTTATATGCAGCAGGCTGGAAAAAACCTCAAAGATAACTTGAACTGAGGCATTTGTGTCTTATTTTCTTAATTTCAAGCAGGCAACTGAGTATAAATTACATCATTTATGAATATGCAATTTTAATTAAATTGTTTAAATTTCAAATGTTGTATTTTTAAATCTAGCCAATTATAGAACCCTTGCATATGCTTACCACTGCACCCTGCTGGATCGGGCTGATTCCCACTAGAAAATTAGTAGCTGCAGGTTTTTGACCATCAGATACTGAATGATCTAACTTATGTTAATGAGTCACTTCCTACATATAAACTAAATTCTATAGCCTGCTGCCCACAAGGTGACGTATTCTAAAAAAGGCACTTATTTCAGTTCTGAGTTCTGCTTTTCCAAATAGAGGCACACACAAAATGAGAAGTTCCCGCAGTCTGACCATCAAATTCAGGGAAAGGTGACAACTGCCCTGCTGTGTAAAAGTTCCTGGGGAAGAGCTATTGTGAGACTGGACCAAAAAAGCAGATAAAATACATATTTCACTGTAAGTACAGCAAGTTGTCCTACAGATTCATAAATATAAGCATAGCACATGTTTACATGCCTTTCTGAATGGAAACCTCAATGACTTCCCTTTCTGGAGCTGACATCATTGGCTTTCACAGTACTTTAAAAAAAGATGACAGAATGTGTTCCTTGGGTTTGCCCTTGTCCTTACCCTCCTCTGTACAGATTTCCTGCCTCAAAACTCTTTGAGTCACAGCAGCAAGGAGGGGACACTATGGCAAAGACCACCCGACATAACATGGGAATTCCTGCAGCAGGGAGAGTCCCTCCGAGCACAGCTGGCTGGGAAGGGTCAGCCTTTGGTCTGCATGCAGCTAAGATCTTTTTATGGAACTTTCTCATTTCTGATTACCTGTGTGATAACTCATAAAACATTGTATCAGCAACATTTCATTCAGATTTTGGGGTAAGCACATAAAGACTCAGAAAAGAGTCATTTTCTTCAGCATACCAAATGTTTCATAAAGCCAGAGCAGAGTAATAATTTCCAATCTTAAGTTTTGTTAGTGGTAGCCAGAGAAGTCATTACCTTGCAAATTATTTATTACTCTGTAGCTTCAAAAATAACAAACTCTCCCAAGAATCCAAAACAAGAAACTTCTACATTCACGGCTAGTCTCATTACCAGGCTCATGCACATGACAACTTTGTTTCATATAAATGGTATGTATAATTTTATTAGAAAGAAATATTATTTTGATGTTAAGACATCAAATTATAAGCAGAAGGATAATAAAGAATTTGTTATTTTATTGATATTAGAAATATATTTAATGGGAACATTTGCAAGAGTGTAGTGATGAGAAAATTCTGATTGTTAATGGGTTTAACAAAATCATGAATCCTGAAAAATATTTTCTTTCAACACTGTCAAGTACATAAAGGTTTAGACTCTCTTGCAAAGCTGTAGTTTTGACACACAAGAATTCCTATATAATCAGGCTAAAATAGGAAAAGGAGAGGAAAATTGATTGTAAATTGAATTAGGGTAATGCCTGGAGTTACTGCTAGCATCACAGCTTGCATAGCCTTCTGCCTAGAAGTATTTTGGAGTTAATGTACTAAGTCCCAGAGCAGCAACAAAAGGTGGGGTGGGGTCCAATTCTCTGTTAATTTCACATTTTTAAAGAATTGATATGTTTGTTCCTTTTACACATTCCAATAACTATACTGTTCACTTTATTTATATATGAAATACTAAAATGTGTATAAGATGACTGTGATTTTATGATGTATTCATAATAACAAAGATATTTTTTCTTATTCTGCTGGTAGCTGCGTTATTGTCACACATTGCCCTTTCTCTGAAACACAGTGATGTTGGCTGGAAGAAACAGATGGCAGGAAATCTCCTTATGCTGCCTTCTAGCATTTTTCTTGGAGCTGAACAATACCGTCATAGTTCATTGAGGCATGAGCTCTTGCAAGCTAGGGTGGGTTTCAGTCTTTGTGAGAATAAAGCTCACAGCTCCCTCTGGTCTGTGGATGGATGGTGGCTCCTGTGCCACATCAGGGCTACATGAGGCTGAATCCAGCAGCCTCACCCCAGGCTGCCGGCTGTGCGCAGCTTCTGCACAGCCCAGGGATGGGATACGGGGGTCCGGAGCTCTCTGGAGTCCCGCCACCAGTAATGGGGAAAAGGGGGAATAAGACATAGGCTCCAGCAGACCTTGTGAGCCCCTCCCCGCAGCCCCAGGAGCATCCTGCTGTGTCCGACAGCTGAGGGTCAGCGAGGAGCCTGTCTTGCCCCTTCCTCCCTGCAGAGCCCACGCTGCCTGCCCAAACTGGCTGTCATCCCTGGCAGGATCCCACTCCACCACCAGGATCCAGGATCCCCGATATGCGGGTAAATGTGCAAAGTAAAATTAAAAGTATCCATAAATCATAGTGAAACATGATGGGGGGGGGGGGGGTGAGAGAGAGAAAGAAAGAAAGAAAGATAAAAAGTTGGAATAGTCATAGTAACAACTGTCTTCAGTTTTAGAAAGTAGATAGTAGAAGCAAAATGTTAAAGACAAAAATCTATGGTTAGCAGATGTAGGAATGAAAAGGTAGACAAAGGAGTTCTCGGTTGTACTGAGGATCCTGTTAGTAGTATTGTTCCATGGCTGTATGAGGATAACAGAACAGAACCGTCAAGAATTCATGGAAAGCAGAATCTCAGTTACGACATGTGTGCATTTGGGGAAAGCCAGATGGTAGTCGTATGACATGATGCAATCCTTTTACTTTTAACCAGTTACACAGCAGTGTATTAAAATCAGACATTCTAAAATCTGCCTGTTTAATTAACTTATATCCGATAGTTCTAAAAAGAACTAACAGAGGACCGGCGGGACGCTGGATCGCCGCGGTGCGGTTCCTTCGCTCCCGTTTGCATCTCCCCGCTCCGCCGGGTCTGTCCCGGTTCCCTGTCCCGGTCAGACCTCCTGGTAGGCGGCTGCAGGCTGAACTCCGTGAGGAGGAGCAGTGCCAGCAGGGCGAGGGAGGCGATCGTGTCCTTCTGCTCAGCATGGAGCGCTGTGTCCCGTTCCGGGCTCCTGAGCGCCAGAGAGACGTGGAGTTCCTGGAGCGGGTTCAGTGGAGGGTGGCGAAAGTAATTGAGAAGCTGGAGTATCTCCTACGAGAAAAGGCTGGGCGAGCTGGGCATGTTCAGGCTCCAGAGGCGATTACTGAGAGGGGACCTCATCAGTGTCTGTCAGTGTCAGCAGGGACGGGTCAGACGATGGACCAGGCTCTGCTCAGCGGTGCCGAGCAGCAGAACACAAGGGCCGAAAGGGGTGCACAGGAAGTTCCACTTGAACAGGAGGAAGAACTTTGCTGCTCGGGTGACCGAGCACTGGAACAGATATCCCGGAGAGGCCGCGGAGTCTGCCTTATCGGCTATACTCAAGAACAGCATGGTCGCATTCCCGTGCCGTGTGCTCCGGGAAGACCCTGTTGGAGCAGGGAGCCTGGACCAGGTGTCCAGCCGTGCTGCCTTTCCAATCTGACCCGTTCCGGGACTGTGTGGCTCTGACTACATTTCCCGGCGCGCTGCGCGGCGCCCGGGCGCTGCCGGGAGGCGGCGGCGGCGGCAGCCGGGGCGGGCGGTCGATCCATCGGCGGGATGCGGCTGTCGGTGGCGGCCGCCATCTCGCATGGCCGCGTGTACCGGCGGTTCGGGCTCAGCCCGCGGTCGCGCCTGGACCTGCTGCGGAACCTCGTGACAGCGCTGGTGCGGCATGAGCGCATCGAGACGCCCTGGGCGCGGGCCGACGAGATGCGCGGCTACGCCGAGCGGGTGAGCGGCAGCACCGGGCCGGGCCGGGCCGGGCTGAGGGGCGGCGGGCGGCCGAGGCACCCTGACCCAGCGGCTTCTTCCTCACCTGCCGCCTCCTTCCTCCCCGCAGCTCATCGACTACGCCAAGCGGGGCGACAAGGACGAGCGCGCCATGCGCATGGCTGATTTCTGGCTGACCGTAAGTACCCCCCAGCCCCGCATCCGTCCCGGCCCGCCGCGGAGCCGGGGCTGAGCGTGCCGCCCCGCAGGAAAAGGACCTCATCCACAAGCTGTTCAAGGTGCTGGCGCCCCGCTTCCAGCCGCACCCCGGCAGCTACACGCGGCTGCTGCAGATCCCCAACCGGGACGGGCTGGACCGCGCTAAGATGGCGGTGATCGAGCTGAAGGGGAACCCGCTCCCGCCGCTCGTCCGCCCGCGCCGCGACTCCGACAAGACGCTGCTGAACCAGCTGCTCAAGGGATACCGGCAGGACGCGCAGCGGGCGGCCGCCGCCCGGGGCACCCCCGTCTAGGGTCCCCCTGAGCCCGGGGCTCCCGGGGAGCTGCCCACGCACCACCCCCGAGTGCTGTCCTGGGGCATGGGAAGGGAAGGTGTGGCAGGAGAGCTGGAAGGTCATGGAAGTTGCCATGGCGAGGGCCGAGTTTACTGTCTGTTTCCAGTGGCTTTAATAGAGACTCAGCAGAAGGAAATAAAGCTAGGAGCCCTGAAGATTGATACGTTCTGTGTAAATAAACTTTGTTCATAAAGTCAGTTTGCTTGTATTTGAGTTGTATTCGAGAATCATTTTGATTAGAAAAGACCTCTGAAGTTATCAAATTCAACTTATGACCAAACCACCACCAAGTCAACCAGACCATGGCACTTGGTGCCACATCCGGTCTTTATTTTAAAGACCTCCAAGGACCGTGGCTCCACCACCTCCTGGGCAGCTCATTCGTGCCTATTCACCCTCTCTATGAAGAAATTCTTCCTAATGTTCTACATAGACCTCCCATGACTCGTAGCTTATTCCAGAAAAATGGGTTTGCTAACAGTGTGTTCTAGGAGCCATTGTTCAGCATTTCAGGGCGGGAAGTTTGGTGGAAATAAGATACTTCTGCTGTTTAAAAAGCACTGAATGCAAATAGGATGGTAACACTGAGATAAGTGCTATGAAGAGACAACCAAAAAAAGTTGTCTTACTATGTGAGGTGGTAACATAGGAACGAGTCATACTAATCTAGCAAGAGCTTGACAGACACCCCAGCTTCAGAGGCAGGATTGCAAGACATCTCTGTATAACTATTAGAACAAAAAGAGGGAGGAGCAGACTTTTCTCAGAGTGATACTAAGCAATAAGAATCTTAAATTGCTTTCTTTGTCTTTAATTTCAGGCACAGCTAGTACTTGAAAGTCCTAGCTGTAAATTTAAAGTGAAAAAAACCCAAAACAAAACCAACTTAAATGTAGAATCACAGGATAGAATACCCAGTTGTAAAGGACTTCAAGAACACCTGGCCTAACCTTCCTTGACAAAACATAGTGGAACCAGTGTGGCTTCCTAGATCTTGTTGCATTTCTTCCTCCCAAGTTTCACAAACTTAAAGAGATTTTAAGGAGTGGTTCTGTGTAGCAAGCTAATCATATGGAAAGATGAAGAACCCTCATTGTATATTCTCTCTTTGAGACACTTACCTCACACAGTATCAGTTCTGTTTTAATAAGCACCAGTGAGAAATTAAAGATGGATGGTACTGCTTGAGGAAGAAGAAACAGTCAAACTGCTACGAGGTCAGTGTTCAGACAGACTTTAATCTTTATGTTTCTAATAACATTAAAATTGTTCTCTTTGCAGTTGACCATATTCAAATAGATGTTTTCTGAATCAAACTGCTGCACCACTTCCACATTATTAAAAGTCTATGCTGAGGCTTTAACAAAGTACAAAAATACCTTTAAAACACATTTCATGAGGGAAAATAAGTCACACACTCATCTGCTTGACCTTAAGTTAATAATGAGTTCACTAAAGTGCAAAAAAGCTAGAAGTTTCTAAGATAAATTGAAGAAAATCCTTCATACGTGTTTTTTTTATGTACAATTTTTTTTTTGCAGCATCTATATAAACATTAGGGCGGCTAACAAAGCATCCATCATCTCACAAACCTGGTATGTAGTCCTTCCCAATTCAGTGCTACTAAATATCCCTGAACATATAAAATATGGAAGCTTCTGCCATGAGGGTGGTTGTCCTGCCAGTCTGTCTTGTACTCGGGTGGGTCAGGCTTTCAGCTGCCTGTAGAGGAAAACAGAGGGGAGATTCACAGTTAATATGGGAAATCTCTCCTTATTATTCCTTTGTGTCCTGGCTGCCAGCATCAGGCTGCCCTTACACAGGTTGCACACACAGGTCCCCAGTGGACACCTCTATGTCCTGTTCTCTTCCACCTGTGGAACATGGATGCCTACCTGACTGCAGCTTTGAGACTCTGGTACCAGTCATTAATCTCTTGTTGGTTGCTGGACATCAACAGCAGTGTCTTGTGTGGAAAGGAAAGCTGAAAGACAAACAGAATCTGTGACATTCCTTGCCAAGGCAAGTAAAGGCAGTAAAAGGAAAACCATCACCACTGAATTCTGTCCCTGCATGTTGATTTTCACCCATTTCCTTCCCAGACAGAAAAATTTAGCCTTAATATTGGGCAAAGGCAGAGCAAGTGCCAGTCTTGCCCATTGTTTCCAGTAGTAGTTGACAGGTCACTTTGACCTGTTTGGAGGTGAGCAGTTAAAATTCTCAGCAGCTCATCCTCCAGTTTTCTGCCATATTCCAAGCTGTCCCTAGGGGTCCTTCTACTACTATCTGCTACTACTTTCTCAAAGAGTTCTTTGTGATAGCTCACAAGAAAAGATCTTACACAACCTCAGGTGCAACTAACCTTGGAAGAACTAACCTTGAAACCCCTACAGAAGACACTGGTCTCTGTCAAGGCATCTGCAGCCCTCGGGGAGTTAGAAGCACAACATCTGTTGTAATGACATCCACATCTTTTTCACTCTCTGTTTTTCTACATGTTTGTCTGTAGTCAGTAATGTTACATATTCATTGTCACATGACTGTGGGGCTGCCCCCCAAACCTGTGGCTCTAATGAGGGCATGCCAAGTCCTAGTGGAGCCTCCTTGCCTGAGCTAAGTGAAGCAACCAGCTGCCTGTAACCCCAGAGTGTGCAGGAGGCTCCATGCCATGAAAGGAAAACTACCCGCATCACTCAAGAAGGGAAGGGTTGTCCTAGCTCAGACTTGCTCACTGCATTTTGTCACCACTTTCATCTTGGTCCCACTGCTGCTGAGACAGCTGGAGACCTGCTTCCAGATCTGACTCCACTGGCACTTCTGCCTGGCACAGGTGGGAAGACTTACACTGAGTAGCCCTCCCTGGCTCCATGTGTGGCCGAACACTTTATCCACTGAGCACTGGTGGAGCGGGTAGACAGCCTGGCAGTTCAGTTTGTTGGAGTTCAGCAGGTGCAGTGGGTGGCAGGGCTTTGCCGCAATGAGGATATCAGAGAACAGGAAGAACATCCTACGCTTCAGTTCTTCTCCCTTGGAAGGAACCACCAAAAGCCAGCCTTCCCGGATATACCAGCGCCCTGGGCATGCCGGGGAAACAGAGACAGCTGTGAGATATGAGGGAGGGCAGGCAGGAATAAAAAGTAAAGGGTATACAGGAATACAGGGTGAGCCACCCTTGTGGGTTGCCGTGTTCTACATCAATTCCAGCCACTAGAAGGCACTGGATGTCAGCTGGGTCCCAGCACGGATAACACCAGTGTAGAAGCAGTAATCAGCCCAAAAACTTTAGTATGTGAGGAGCAGCTGAAGTTGTTATAGATTTGCTATATTATAGATCTCTTAATTAAGAGTAATTATCATATGAAAGTCTGTTTAAAGTGATCAGAACAAAAACATAGTTTGAGAACAGTATGCATATCTTTAAATTAACATAAGCTTTCAGAAAACACAACAAACTTTTAAATTGTGTTGTCCAATTGTTTGTCATTAATGGTATAAAAGAAGCTAGTTTCAGCTTTGAAAACTTAACATTTTTTCCATGTTTTGTTTGTGGGTGCTAATTAAATAAATATACTCAAAAAACCTCCCCAAAGCAAACCAAAACCATATTTCACAGGTCTTCTAACTATACAGACTTACAGTAACCAAGAGATTACAGATTGCAGGTTACTGTTCTAAAGAGAAGGTATGAAAGGAGATACAAAATGAGAAAGGTCTGAGTAGGCAACTTTATCAACCTCTCTTGCAGAACAAAGTCCAGTGTCATCCACCTGTGAAATTAATTGTGATAAAACAAGAAGAAAAAAAAGCAGGAAGAAAATAATAAAAAAAAATTGATAAGCCTAACGGTAACCAGCAATTTAAAAAAATAATAATGAAATAATTAAAGCAGGACTTCTTACTAAGATTATTGTGCAAGATAGCCGTCAACACATGGGAATTATGAGGACACCTGTCAGTAAGATTATTTATAAAAATGCAAAGCCATAACAAGGTATTGCCACCTGATCTTGTTTAGAAAACATCTACCAGGGAATTTCAGCCACTCTTTCATGCCTTAGTTTCTGCGTGAGCTATTAAATACCTTTTTGGAAAAAAACCCACTGTGTTGTTTTCATTATAGATTGTGTCATATTAGAATGCTACAGTCAGGAAACAAAGAAGCGAGTAAATTCCTGCTTAGCTTATTCCACTGGAACCACTCCTCTTACCTGAATAAGAAACTGAGGGACAGAAGGGTGAGGTGCAGGAATCAATCCAGGTTTAAAAAAAAAAAGGGAGGAAGGTGTCAGAAGCATGGGGCTGGGAACTGTTTCCTCCAGGGTTTGCTGTGATCAGACTCACAGGTGTACAATCTGACCAAGGCTGTACTGGAAGTCTTGGAATATAGATCCATATCCAGGATTCTCAGGTGTACAAGTTCTAGGAAATCGTGAAAGAAGGGCAAGAAAATATCCCTGGGGAAGCTCTGGATGACAGAACAATGTGCTCAGTTAAGGAGGCAGTTCTGGCTGATAAAGTATTTGTCCTGAATATGGAAGGCAGCAAGAAAAGCAGGGTTTCCTCACTGGGAGCAGGACATCTCAGAGAGACTGGCAGACGTGAGATACCCATCTCCAACACTCCCCCTTTTTTCTGAATCTACAGCATTTTGTTTTCTCTCCTGTTCCCTCCTCCTGGCAACAGGACCCAATCTTAACTGTCCTGCAAAAGCTATCTTGCTTCTGGAAAGCTGGCCCGAACTAGCAAGCCCCAGCTGCCTCTTACATTTCTACTTCTCATATCCAATGATAACTATGTAACTCCAGCCAGTGGAAAACATGACTGTAAGAATTCTCTGTCCTAGATAATGGAAATGCCTTTACTCACCCTCAAAACTCATCCTACTATGTCTCAGAATTTTCGGAGACCAAAATAATTAGTGGACCAAACACCTTCAAACAATGGCCATATCTGGTCTAGTTATACTGTTTTGCAGTGTTTGTTTACTTTCATGGTGTTATCTTATTAGTTCTAACTAATGTTAGTTAGTTCTAACACTGATCAGGATAACTAATTTACGTTTTTAGTTACACACTACCCCAAGTGTGTCCAGGCACACTACCCCCATACATGCTTCTGCTCAGTATAAGCAGAGCATACCCTTTCACCTGGCAGCACCAAAAGGATTCTAAGAACAGGAAAGAGAATTGTAAATTAGTTTTCCCATTGACTGAGCATATTTGAGAATAACCTCTGACAAGTAACCTTTGTTGTACCTGTGCTTGTTTGGCTTAGGATGGAGTTAATTTTTTCCATAGTAGCTGGTATGTGGCTGTTTTGGGTTTGCACTGAAAACACCGGTGACAACACAGGGATCTTTTGTTTATTGCTGCGTAAGCACTGCTCAGTATCATTTTCTGCTACTCAAGCCACAAGTGAGGAGGCTGGGAGTGCACATGAATGTGGGAAGGGTCACAGCTGATCCAAAATCCCCAAAGGGATATCCTATATCATATGACATCATGTTCAGTCTGTTATGCTGAGGAAAGAAGAAGGAAAGGGGGAGTTTTAAAGTGATGGCTCTTGTCTTGCCAGGTAACCACAATGTGCAGTAGAGCCCTGGCTAGAGCCCTTTCTTTGGAATAGCTAAATACCTCCCTACCCATGGCAAGTGGTGGGCATAACTTTGCTTGCATTAACAGCTTTTGCTTTATTTGTTAAACTGTCTTTATCTCAGCCCATGAGCTTTCTCAGTTTTACTCTTCTGAGTCTTTCCCCATCCCAGTGGGGAAAGTTTTTTCATCCAAAAATCCACATGTGTTAATTACAATCACATTCACAAGTACCTGGAGGTTCTTGTCTTAGAGACCTTCACAAACAGTGACTTTAACACTCCTCTCCAGCTGCAGCACTGTGCCTGGATAACCTCTGCAACAGCAGAGTTGAGTGAGACTACAGGTGAAAACCCAAATCACCACTTCATAATTGCCCAGACTGAGCACATTTCTCACAATATTTCATACATAGCTTAGAGTGTTGTCTGGGCATGGAGAGCACCCAGTCACATAAGAGATCTGTTATCCATTTAAATGTTCTTACATACCAGTGACTGTGGCTTTATCTATCTCAGCTATCAACAAATACAGTAATTTTTGGCTCAGTTTAACCATGCAGATAAAAGAAAATTCTTCATATGAAGAGTGTGAGCATAATGCCATTAATCTTGTAGCTTAATGTAAACAACAACACAGTTATTGTGCCCTTGACACTCAGGAATCTATGGTTCCTGCAATGGAGTAAGAATAATACCACTACTTACACTCTGCCAAAAGAATTTAGTGTCTCTCTTTTATTCCCACCCAGGACTTACACTCCTGATCTTCTTGGGTTCCTAGCTTTCTAACCACATGTCATCAGCTTCTTCTATCTGAATGTCAGGCAATTAAACTGTCGCTTATCTTTACTCAAAGATTCTTAATATGTATAAAAAAAAAAAAAAAAGCTTGAATTAGTAGTCATATTCCTTTACCACCACCACAATCTGGGCAGAAGGGGAAAACTGGTTAATGTGAGTTGAGTCAGAGATGAAGGAGAAAATACGTCCACATATCTCAGCATGGAAGAAGAAAAACAGAGCTGTCAGAAAGACTCACCTGGAGTCAAAACCTGTGTCTTTTGTCCTTTGAGCAATTTCTGAACTCGAAGTAGCTGCAAGGAGTTCTCTCTCTTATCAAAGATGTCTTGGACCCAGTGAGACACCTCACAAACAGATTTCACAGTCTCTGAAATTATAGCAGCATATTCTGAAGTTATCACAAATGAATGCATATTTCATCTTATACATCTTGCTAAGAAAAGAAAAAGTATGAAATTAAGAAGAAAAGTTTTCAACCAAGTATCCACAACAGCTTTATTCAAGAATTTCTGTGAGAGATTGGACTAGATCACCTCCAAAGGCCTCTTTCCAACCAACAATTCTGTAGTTCTAGAAAACATTTGCCAATGAAACATAAGAGAAGAATAATTTTCTGGATTTGGAAGCAAAAACAGGAAAATGCCTTACAAGTGGTTTTAACTGTTTGTAAAATCCACAGAATCACTTAGCTTGGAAAAGACTACTGAGATCACCAAGTTCAACCTAGGATTGAACATCACCTTGTCACGTAGACCATGGCATTGAGTGTCATTTCTTGAACATTTTCAGAGATGGTGACTCTACATCTTCCCTGGGAAGTCCATTCCAGTGTTTAACAACCCTTTCCATGAAGAAATACGTCCCAACGTCCCTCCTGGCACAGCTTGAGGCCATTTCCTCTCATCCTGCTGCTTGTTATCTGGGAGAGGAGGCCAATCCCCAGCTGGCCACAACCTCCTTTCAGGCACTTGTAAAGAGTGATCAGGTCACCCCTTTTCTCCAGACTAAACACCCCCAGCTCCCTCAGCCACAAATCACAGGACTTGTGCTCCAGACTCTTCCCAAGCTCCACTGCCCTTCTCTGAACTTGCTCCAGCACCTCAGTGTCTCTCCTGCAGTGAGGGGCCCAAAACAGGACCTGGGATTTAAGGTGTGGCCTCACTAGTGCTGAGCACAGAGGGACAATCACTTCCCTGGTCCTGCTGGGCTCATCATTGCTGATACATTCAGGATGTTCTTGGCCTTCTTGGCCACCTGGGCACACACTGGCTCATGTTCAGCTGCTGTTGATCAGCACTCCCAGGGCCTTTTCCTCCCAGCAGCTTTCCAGCCACTCTGTCCCAGCCTGTGGCACTGCCCGGGGTTGTTGTGACCCAGGGACAGGACCTGGCACTTGGCCTTGTTGACCCTCACACCATTGACCTCAGCCCATGGATCCAGCCTGTGCAGATCCCTCTGCAGAGCCTTCCTGCCCTCCAGCACATCAGCACTCCCACCCAGCTTGGTGCAAACTGGCTGAGGGTGCTCTTGATTCCCTCATTCAGATCATCAATAAAGGTATTTAACAGGACTGACCCTGATACTGAGCCCTGGGGAACACCTCTGGATACAGCATGAAGGACATGAATTATCCTAGAAAAATTGAGGCATGTAACCAAGAAAGTCAGAGAATGGTTTGAGTTGGAAGAGACCTTAAAGGTCATGTTGTTCTAACTGTTGCCATGGGCAGGGACACCTTGAAATACATCACTTTGCTCAGGACCATATCCAGCCTGGCCTTGAACTCTTCCAGGAATGGGGCATCAACAAATTCCTTGAGCTACCTGTTCCAGTGCCTCACAAGCAGCAGAGTTTAAAAAAAAACAGAACTGCCATTTCTCTAACCTAACTCTTAGGCCATTTTCACAGGCAGTTACTCTGTATTATTATTCCTAACATGTTCTCACATTGCATCTTGAACAGTACATCAATGGTACATCTTCAATAAGATTGAGAAGGAAAATAGTAATCCACTAGACTTCCAGAGAGAGAGAGAGAGGAAGACTTTTTTTCCCTCTGGAAGCAGGCAGTACATGAGAGTCAAAGTATTCTTAGCAAGGAGTGTATCATTGATGAAACAGCCAGCATTTTCAGGTGGAATCATACTTGCAAGTTTCTGGTACTCAGCAGTGTCTGGGCTGGTGTTCTCCAGCAGATCTCTGAAGAAATGCTTGTACCTGAGGTGGAGAGAGCAGGTTTAATTCACAAGACACCAGGAGCAGCAGCAGCACTGCCTGTTCATAACTGCACAGTGAACAACACTCAGCCAGGAGACAGAATAAGCCTAACGAAGCAGTTTTGGTCACACTTCATTCATATTCATGTTATCATCAAATGTCTCAACTAAAATAACCCAAGTATTTTGTACATCTGCAAACCAACCTTTGGCTTTTCCTGGGGATCCAATAGAAGCCAACTCACAAATCACTGAAGATCATGAGGCTCACTCAGAATTCAAATACATATGCCGTCAATAAGCAACAAATTTCTCTTTGAACCATCTATTTTTAATAGTGTATGAATGGTGGCATTCATACCACGTTTCCTGCCCACACAAGAAAATAAAGGCATTTCTATAAAAACTAGGACCCTCTTTCTTCTTTTCCAGTCTTTACTGGAGAGGATAAGATCTCTGCATATGCTTTCTCCCAGTAAAGTCAAACAGAAGGAACTTAACAGATTCTCAGACTGGCAGAACTCATATGACCTAATGCATACGTACCAGAGTTTTAAAGGAATGTGAATATGATAGAGCTGATTAGTGAAAAAGTTAGACTTTCTTTTAAAAAGCTCACATTTTTCCGAATAGTTAGACAGCAACAAATATACTGCTGTTTTGCAAATTTAAAAGAAGTATCCAAAGAATTACAGTAAAAACCCACCAATCAGCTTAATGTTTACTTCTGCCAAGCTGATTAAAACATTGTGCAAAATTACATGAAATACTGTGGTATGATGTGTCCAACTTATTTTCAAAGAAACGAGGTGCTCAATCTCTCAGATTTGTTTTAGTGTAGATAAGATCATGGTTAAGGTCAAGCTGCTGGATCTAAAGCAGCAGAATCTGGGCCCCTTTATTACTCACGTGCCATCCCCAAGAAAGAGCTGCCCACGAGTGCATGAAGCACTGTCCTCAGGCAGTTTGCCACTTCAAAGGGGAGATGATCATAAAATACCCTGAGATGGAAGGCATCCACAAGGATCATCAAGTCCAATTCTTGCCTCTGCATTTTTAGGACAACCCTAAAAATCACACATGTCCAGTGATGTTACCTAAATATGTCTTGAAAACTGGAAGGCTTGGCGCCTCACGAGGGAGATGCAGCAATCCTGACTGGATCTGTCTGGACTCAGACAAATGTGATGGGCACCAAATCTGAGGAAAGCATACGGCCCTGATAACCAGAGAGGAAAGAGAAGCTCTCCTGTGTTCATTAATCTCATTTCTCTCCAAAAGTAGCCATCTACAAGAGTCACAGATTGCTCTAGGTCATCAATCTGCATAAAAATTGTGCAAAAGCATCACTGGCAGAGACCATCACTTCTGCAGCATTTCAATCAGCTTGCTTTCATTCAGGACCAAACTTCAGAATCTTACTGAGACGGCAGAAAGCCTCTAGTTGTACCCAAGAGCTAGGGGAAGGAGCCAGGGCTAATTCCTGCATCATCTCCCATCCATGTACACTGATTCCACTTTACAGGCACATCCTCAGGTCTGTCCCTATACTCTGATTTTGAGACACAATAGGCAACTTTCCCTTTCACAGCAACAAAGTGTTATAATCCTTTCTCTCTTCTTATGCTTATCCTTTGAAGATTCACAATTGCTTACTTACTGTTGCAGCCTCTGCAGGGGCAAAGGAAGCAGATCCTCTAGCTCCCTCCCTTGAAACTGAGGTCGAGTCTCCTGAAGTTTCTTAAACCGCCGGAATGACTTATTTTTCCTCACTTGCTCCTGTGTGCAGCAAAAAAGGGATATAGCTTTGAGACTACAGGAAGAACTATGTGCTCTAGTCGGTTCCGGAGCTTGGAACACTTCACTTTAGAGTTTAGGACTCCAGTCCTACAAGCATCAACTACTTTTGTGTCTATAGGCAAGCCATTCCCTTTCTCCTGACCATCCATTCCAGTGGGTAATGGAAATTATGTCTCCCCTCCATATATGGAATTAAAGAAAAAGATAAGGTTGATCCAGTTAGTAAAACAAGGAGTGCACTTGTGGCTTTTTGCCATGCCTTGCAAGAAAAAGCAATGCTGATCTGCACCCTCATCACTTTAAGACAAGTATTCAAAATGGCTTTTTCTCTTGGAAAATCAAAAGCATGAATACATGCATACAAAGAAAAGAGGGGGGAAACATCTCAGGTTTTTCTGCATCTGGGAACAAACATGGACAAAACTGGGAGTTGAGTGGTTTAAATTCCAGATACAGCAGTCAGGACTTCTGAATAAATGTATATTCTGCAGAAATTTCTTGAAGACAGGTTGAATTTGAAGACATTGGTGGGAAAGAAAAAATCGCCTTCAACATAGGAAAAAATTATGAAGGTAAAGGAAATCCCACTGGTAGGATACAGTTGGTGGTAGTGGGAAAGACTAGGAGACCTGACAATTCGTAGAAAGAGATCACTGTATCATAGTGAAAGCCTGGAAACTCTCTAGGCTTGCCAGTTAGGAAGAAGTGGGAGTAAATACACAGCTCTGGTTCAGAAATATACACGAATACAAATACAGAAAGCAGTGCTCACCATATGCACATACATATACAAACACCTGAAAAAAGCATCAGAAATTTGAAACTCTAAATAAGTAGAGAAATTTTCACCATATTATTGTGGAAGAAAGCCTGAATTTCATCAGCCCAGAAAAAGTAAGAGCAATGATCCCTCCAGAAACGGAAGACAAATGGAAAGATGTGACAGTTTCATAGAATGGAAGAAGAGAAACCGTATGAAGACTAAAGTAGATATTTACCTTCAAGGTTTTATTTGCCTGCTCCAAATTTTCAGCATAGCGGCCATAAAGATCCAGACTCTGACAAAAGTTTTCTAGCCCTGGTCCCAAATTCCCTTTCTCCAGGTGAAGTGACAGAACACTGCACAAGGAGCAAAGATAGCTTGTGAGGGATACATTACTGATGGCATTTTCACAACTCCTTCTGATTCCTTCCTTTGCTGACCTGCCTTTACGATTCTCCACTTCATATCCACTTTCTATGCCAAATTCGTGCTTGGACGTCAGAGTAAGCCACAAAACACATTGTGGAGAAGACTTACTGAGCTTAAACTACTGCTCAGTAGCTGGGTACCCAGGTATGTGATAGAGATCAAGAGTTCCCTGATCCTGGGAAATCCTCCTGTAGAGCTTCTGGGGACACCTCCACATGCCATCAAGGCTAGCAGTGCTAGGACTGAATGCCTTTTCACAAGGTGTTGGCCTTATTTCCCCAAATCTTACTTTCTCATCAACATAGTCCTCCCAGTATAATTACAGGAATTGCATCCTGTGTCCACTTACTGGCTGGCTGAATATAAGGACTCCAGGGGTCCAAATATAGTTTCCAACACAGCAGGTTTCAGCGTTCCTTTGGCCTTTAAAATTGTCACAAAGTACTAAGCAGGAAGAAAAAAAAAAAAAGGAATTTCAAACACGGAGCATTCACAAATCATCATAAAATCACTAAATGGTTTGGATTAGAAAGGATCTTAAAGACCACCTAGTTCCAACCTGGTCAGAAACACCTTCCAAGCCCCATCCAACCCGGCTGGTCACTTCCAGGGCTGAGGCATCCACAGCTTCTCTGGACCATCTGTGCCACTGCCTCACCACCCTCACAGTAAATAACTTCTTCCTAACATCTAATCTAAACTTACTGTCCTTCCGTTTGAAATCATTCCTCCTTGTCTTATCACTATGTGCCTGTGTAAAGTCACTCTCACTCTTCTTTATAAGCCCCCTTTAAGTACTGGAAGGCTGCAAATGTTATTAACCTCTGAGGTCACTCAAAGGCCACTTGTGGCACACAGCAGAAGGCAGAAGTTGCAGACTGAACACTCTTTGGCTTGGAAAGATATCAAATATTGTGACTGTCTACCAAAGATATCCACTATCAGATGTAAGTCTTACTTGTGGCTTTCACCATAACTGTAAACACTTGGAACAGTACTACAGTACTGAAAAGAGTCTATTTCAGTATCCTCCAATGCATCTGTTTTTCACCATTTTGTCCATAATTTTTTCTTGTCTGTGTCCCTACAGTTCATACATCTCGGGCATCTTAACGGCAAGCCTCCAATTCAATCAAAACTTAAAAGATTTACATCTGTGTACAGACCAAGGCCAAAAAGCCAAACCCACGAGCTACTGAATATTACAGAGCAGGTGAAAGAAAAACAACAAAAAACGCTTTCAGCCACAGCAGGTATCCCAGGCATTAGGAACATACCACAGTTTTGCTTTTTACCTTTCCCCATGGCAACACGAAGAAGTATGTGCTGTCTGAAGACACCCACATATCAGAAGGGGCAGAAATACTCACTGTGAGAACCAAATCCAGCTGCTCAAGGTATTTGTGCTCTGTTTCCAGCAGTTCCTTGGCTGTCCTGCTGCGCTTCCTCTCCCATCGAGCCCGCTGGTCTTCCACAGTGTTTGCTCCAACCACAAATGGCAGGGATGAGGCACTCATGGCAGAATTAGGGTTGATATACCGGGAGGTAAAAGATCCTGGAGAGCCAAGCAAGATGGACACACAGCAAAAGAATAACCTGTGTTGCGGGGTAGGATTCTGAGCTAAAAACTCTACACTTTCCTAGGAAATAAGGGAAGTCAGTTGCCAGCAACAATTATTAACAGTTTCCTTCTGCTTTCCCTCCCGTGGGCAGAGGGGCCCTGTATCAAACAGAGGAACACCATTAAAGAGACCAGGCTGTGAAAGCAAGAACGGTACATGACAATACGTCTCTCAAGTATATCTTAGCGTACAATCCCACATGTAAACCACTGCTTCCTGTGCTTTGCCCTCCCCATTCTGTGTGAAATTCTTGTTAAACTCAAGCAAGTTTTTGGGTGGAAAAGGTACTGAGGATAGGAGTAGAAAATAACCATAAGATTTGTCTTGTGAGAGGAACGTAGCAGGACTTCCCCGCTAACACAGGAAAAGAGAAGAAAGCGTTCTTGCTTGTTTTCCCATGGAGGTTACTAAGAAACAAGTGGCTTGCTGTCATTTTCTAACAGTATTTTGTGCTCCTGGAGGTCTGAGAGGCCGAGCAACTGCTGTGGATCATAACAGCTTTGCTTCTGCTCTTCTGCTACAGTATCATGATTTTGTTGCACAGAAGAACATTGTTTATCACACTCAGAGAAAGAGGCATATTTAGCAGAACCCCAGTTAGATATTGTTCTTGTGATGAAAAGGCAGTGCAGGCAGTTGCACACTTGCCCCAGCATCAATTCTGCAGTTTCGCTGGAAGCTGAGCTGCCTCTGGAAAGTTCTGTTTCCCACATGGACAAGATACACTAATACAGAAAGATGTGTCATCATAGAGAAAGAGATTTGTCAAACACCATCTTCCAGAGACATTTCAGATATGTAAATCAATGTCTGAAACAAAAGTTTCACATCAAATGAGTACCAGGACTTGTTTAATAAATTGCCGAAAGTCCAGAGAACTGATGGACATGTGCAGTGTTTTATAGTAGCAGCAGCTTCTCCAGAGGTTTACACTCATATACTCTCACAGCACAACCACACACACAACCACAAAACACATTTTGGTCAAACAGGGCAGACCTGGCAGGAACACCGCCTTAAGCTTAGCATTAGTCCTCCCCCTGAATTGTTCGAGGCCAGGCTGGATAGAGTCCCGAACAACCCTGTGTGTGGAAGGTGTCCTTGGGCTGTGAAGGAGATGGTCTTTAAGGTCCCTTCCAACCCAAACCACTCCATGATCCTGTTCAAGAGCAGTTGCAAAGTACTCACCAGTAATGGACTAAAACGCTGCCATTTGCCGAGCACCTCTAGCCTGGGTAGACTGCAGTCAGGATTTTCATTTTGCAGACCAATCTCTTTTAACACACAATAAATAAAACGAGCAAGTTATACGAGGTTTGACCATTTACTGTTCACATAAAGAAGTTCAAGCACTCCCATTATTGCACAATATATTCTGTATCAGTTCTGCAGGGCGAGTGCTGTCTGCAGCTCGTGGGTACACTAGAAAATACTTCACTTTCAGGTGACAGAACTGCTCCAGCTTGCTTCTCCCTAGCTCACATTCAGAACCTCTATTTTACAGTTAACTTCCTTATAATGCATCATTAGCAGAATCCCCTTCACCATTTCTAAATTTTTTGAGTACTCTCAAAAAATCCCTTCTTCTTATTGCAGCACAGCCCCTCTTGATGTCTCAGGAGTGTAAATACATGGGGAGTCAGCTCCAAGGGCCACGTGGCCCCACATCCCACACTGTGAGAGAAAGTGGAAGGGAGAGGGAGAAACTCTGGAGCCCACAGCCAGCTCAGCCACCCTGAGGAGTAAAGGAGTAAATATTGCAGGAGTTAATACTGAAAGTAAAATATGCACCCAGCCTTCCTTCAATTCGCCTGTGCTGCAGGGTATTAAAAGTGTATCAAAAAACAAGGGCATTATATTTTTTTCAGCAGATGAGAAAAGATCCGTTAAAAGTCTTGCAGGATTGAAAAGAATGCTTTTCTTGACCAAAAAATGAAGCATTTTACTCGTTATCAGGGTTCTGGTTGGTTTGCTTGCTTTTAATCAAATTAAATATGTTTTAAAGAAACAAAAATTTCCAGTAAAAAAAAAAAAAAAAAAATGAGCACTCTGAAAACCATTTACTAAATGTTAACCAAATGTTTTTCATGAATTCAGGAAATACTTGGTGGAATCAGGGACTAATTTAGCCAAAGAGATCTTTCTGGGTTATGCAGTTGAGCCTTGTGACCGGAGTGCGGCTACCACCGAAGTCAAGCTGAGCTGCTCAGGGGTTCATCCTACCCAGGACCTTTCCACGGGTGGAGATCGAGACGAGACGCGCCACGACACCGACACCGGTCCCGATACCGATCCCGGCCCTAGCGCCACGCCGCCCCCGCCGCCCGTTACCTGCCGGTCCCGCCGCCGCCCCGCGTTCAAACGGGGGCTCCGCCCCGGCGGGCGGTCCCGGGGCGGGGCAGTCCCGGGGCGGGGCGGGGCCGGAGCTCGGCGGGGCTGGGCTGGGCCGAGCCGGGCCGGGCAGGACGGCGGCGGGCGGCGATGGTGTCGCTGGGGGAGCGTGGTCCCCCGCCCGGCGCGGCCGCGGACCTGGCGGCGCTGGCCGAGCTGGACGAGGCAGCGCTGCTGGCGGGGCTGCGGGAGCGCTTTCTGCAGCAGCACATCTACGTGAGTGCCGGGGGCCGGGGCGGGGGGCGGCGGCGGGCACTCGGCTGACCGGCTGTCCCGTCCCCACAGACCGACATCGGGGACATCCTCGTGGCCATGAACCCCTTCCAGCCGCTGCAGCTCTACGGGAGAGAGGTGAGCGCCGTGCCCCCCGCCGCGCCCCGCCGCCCCCCGGCCGCTCACGCCTCTCCGCCACTGCTTTCCCGCAGGTCTCCGAGCGGTACCGGCGTCTCCAGACCGACGCGCTGCCGCCCCACATCTTCGCCGTGGCCAGCCGCGCCTACCACGCCATGCTGGGCCGCGGGGGCGGCGGACCCCGCAACCAGTGCATCCTCATCAGGTGAGCGGCGGGCGGGAGTCCCGGGGCCGGCCGGGGCCGGGGGCGACCCCCGAGCTCTCGCTGGGATCTCCCTGCCCAAGGTTCAGGTGAAGCTCTTCTCCGGTTCTTTTGGTGAGTCAAAATCCATCTGTTCTGGCAACACATTCTTCATCCCGACCGCCTTCGAAACAAATTAGCGGGCACGTCGTGAGAACGTGTGGGCAGACAAAACTGCCTTTCGTGGAGCAGCTCGGCCAGCAATCTTTACAACATTAAAGATGCCAGGTTCTCTTCTGGTGGGGAACCAGCCTCTGGAATCCAGCTCTGGGAAAAGCCATCGGGTGCTCTGCTCTGACAACAGAGCTGACATGGTAAAAGCTGTCGTAAAAAGTTGGAAAGATGATAATGAAAGGAATCAATTTTCACCAAGCAGAACTCCCCAAGTGTAACTAAAGAGCAGGAAGAATTAAAACATGCTTTTCTGCTCTAAGACCTTTGGGAATCTGGTCGGAAAGGATCTTAAAGTCGTGGGCAGTTCTAGAAGTCAGAGCACTTGAAGTCAGGGAAAAGTGGCTCTTTTAACCAAAGAGCCTACCAGTATCACAAACATTTCACTCCATCTTGTCGCTCTTGTTCTGCTGGAACTCTGCAGCACAAAAGGTAGCATCATTTAGCAGAGAAAACCTCAAACAACATCAACTACCAGAAAAAACATTAAACAGGAAGGAGAAAGCCTTGAAACATTAACTGCCTCATCTCTACAACTAGGTATTGTAGAGAACGGTTTAAATGTCGTCTCAGTTAAAATGCTACTTGCCAACTTGTTTGATTTAATGATCCTTTGTATTTGCCTTCTGATCATTTTATCAGTACTTTCAGTGTACATTATGTGGAAGTCAATTGCTGAATCGCTGCTGAGTGTTTTGGTGGGACTAGGAGCTGACATTGAGGGGTACTTGAGCCCCACTCATTTCTGTAGGCTTCAGGCCATTGGTGTCTGTGCTTTACATGAAGTGCTCTCAGGAAATGGTGGTGTGGCGTCAGCAGGTGCAAGAGGTGATGCTGGTAGGGCTTTGTGGGACAGAGAACAATCGTTGTATTTGTCTTGGGAGGTGGAAGACAAGAAAGAGTAGCCCATGAGAATTTACCAAGTGGTCAGTGGTCTGGTTGTTTTCTGCCAGCAGTTCACAGATGAGTCTGATACACTCCTGTGCATTTTGCAACCTTTTACCTGGTCTGTAAGTCTGCCACAGGAAGTTTGTGGTTTTCCTCTCTATGGGTGGTGAAACACTGATTAGCAAGTTTTCCTACATGTGCACAGTTGGGCTGAACAGGGAAGATGAGGTCACTCCTGTTAGACGACAGTTCACCACTACAGCCCAGAGATACACCAGGATCTGCTGTCCCTTGTGGTCTCTTTAGTGTCTCCAGCTGAGTTTGGGAGGTCTGGATAGCATTCTTGGGAGTGATGTTGGATGAAGCAGCTGTTGCCAGATCATGAGTATTCATTGCTGCCAAATTGTTCTCAGCTACAAATTCTACTGGCTCATCTTGCCTTCTCAGTCCCAAAGGGCATTAGTCATAGCCTGTATGTGTTGCAGTACAGCACTTGGATCACCTGAAGATGACTTTGCATTTCATCAGATCTGCGAGCAGTTACACTCCTGCTGTGCTTGCAGGACCTTGTGAAGGTGTTGTGCTTGTTGGAGGGTCTAAGGTCAAGCTTGAACCATGGAAGTGCTGTTGGATTATCTATTTTTTTTTTTTTTTTTTTGTGGAGAAGGGAAGTTATTTAAAAATAAAAAAACCCTGACATACTGAGCAGGGGCACTGGATGGAATGTTCTCAACTGGAAAAAGTGGTCTTATTTTGTTTGTATGTATTTGGGTGGTTGTGGTCTGACCTGTGCTTGAGATCAGGTACCTGCTGTAGTACCTGGGGTTTTTAGCCACCGATGACACATACTTGATACCAAGCACAGAGCCACTGGCAGCTACAAAGCAGTAAAGCCACACCACATGCTCAAAGGTCAACTGAAAGGAAATGGGGACCTGCCTCAAGTATACCTCCAGCATTTCCTGCAGTAATTTTTTTTTCCGTGCATACGCTGAAGTTCTCAGCTGGTGTGATGTTGTCAATTAAGGACGTGTTGTTGTGATGATTGTACATTCCCTCTCCCTGGGCAGGGGAAACTGCACTTTCCAAGTGCTGTTTGTTTGACTTGGAGGTGGAGGTGCCGTGGATGTGTGTCAGCAGAGTGACGTGGATGTGTGACAGCACAGTGACATGCATTGCTGGCACTGTGGGAGCGTGGGCAGCTCTGCACCTGCATCCGCAGCTGTTGGGCACGTGAATGTGTGAAACACCTGAGATCTGAGACTGCCACAGCATCTCATGATCAGTATCCAGGTGGATGTGATGTGGATAGGGCAAATTTTTCTGGAGACAGAGGAAGCTGTTGGTTCCAGCATATGCAAGGGAGTTGATGTACCAGATGACTTTTGAAGCAGAGAAAATAGTCTGTCTAGTACATCCCATCCAGAAGTGACAACATGGGGTATATCTGTACTCCCTAGCGGAGGGGGAAGAGTTCCCTGATGAAGGATCAGAACCTTATGGAACGCCCTGTGTAAAGCTGTGGCATGTTTTGCTCACATGTGTGATTTTGCTGAAAAAATTGTGAAACTCTCATAGAGCACTCTCAAGTGATGGAGTGCTTGAGCCATAAGGGGCAGAACAACTATACTTTAAGGTTGATGGAATTTATTTTGCTTTTTCTTGGCAGTGGAGAGAGTGGTGCTGGGAAAACGGAGAGTACGAAGTTGTTGTTGCAGCACATAATGAACCTATGCAAAGGCAACTCACAGCTGGAGCAGCAGATACTTCAGGTAGGTCATTGCAGGATGGTGCTTGAAGGTGCAGAAGCAGCACTGCTGCAAGACAACTTGCCTTAGGCTTAGGAAGCCTGCTGGTGAATCACCACTGGAAATCAGGGAGCTACATGTAAGACGCATAAAAAATAGTAGATAAGAATAGTGAGATAGCTGGCCACAAATTAGAAGTGTTAGTAGGTCAGTGAGGCTTTTACTCGGCCCCAAAATGGGGTTTTTCACCCTTTCTCCAGTCTAGCTCAGGTGTTAGGGTGACGTTTCCCTGGGCCCTTGCCTCATGGACGTAAATAAGATATCAAAAGAGGCTCTTTCCCCTAATAAAGTTACAGGTTTATTTCTCGTGGGTAGCGAGGGAAAGAGGGAGGGGGAAAAAGGAGGGGAAAAGAGGGAAAAGAGGGAAAAGAGACAGAGGCCAGGGGGTACTGACCTTTTCTAG